AAAATGTATAGAATCTTTAAATCGTTTTTTGTTGGAAATAAAAAGTGGTTAGTTAGTATATTCCTTATTACCAACTGTTTCGCTTGATGTTGCGCCATTTTGTATTTGTAGGTATTTTCTCGTTGGTTTGAAGGGTGATAAGTGTTTGTAGAGAGTGTGATGTTTTATTGTTGATACATATTCGACGAAACGAAGTACAAATAGATTTTTTCGTTTTTTTGATCCACAAATTCTGACATCTGAAACAATATGACATATAATAAACAATATAAAACAGCAAGTTACATTTGGATCTTTCTTCAATAACAATATGCAAGCTTAATTTAATGTTTTGTCTTTGTTATTGTGATATCCGTGTCCTGGTACTTCTTACGAGGGATTCTACATACGCATGTTGGCTGCGTCCGTTTGCTAAGCAAACAAAAACCGTCGCTACCGACGTCGAGTATCGGTGGCGCTTTCAAGAGCGGTGGGAAAATCGCGCATGTGGCAAGAGGTTTGTGATCCGTGCTTGATTCATTATGACATTATTTTTCCAAGGCGATTTGCCTAGGCAGAAACAACATCAATTCAACTAGGGACCCGAGAAGCGTTTTTCCTCAGTTAATCCATTGCGAGTGTTAGCAATGTAGACTCTTGTTCTATGAAAACCATTTAAATTAGCTCCCTTGCTGCGCAACGTGTACGTAAACTCGAGATCCAATCCATTACGTCGACTGAAGTGGGGATATTCTGCCATCGACGGCGTCACAGTTCTGTACAGCACGAACTGACGCCAATAAGAGGATCTTAGGCTGGTCAACATCTGCCCAAACGTCTGGAAATCAACCGTCTTGAATGTAGAAAATCTAATTAAACTCATGCTCATTCATTTCATATGCATCCGATTTGTTTGGTTGTGTTACGAAAACCACATTAGGCCATCCAAAGTGTGCCATCCACACACAGTGACGATGGTGCAATGGTGTTTAAAAGATCAATTAGTTTTCGCAGTCTTATCTAAAACATTGACGTTTTTTCGATTTTCCACAATTGTCGTATCCGTACCATACAAAAACGGAGCATTTAAAAAAATTTAATGTCTGATTTAAAATACAAAATACACGAAACAGTGGGCATAGCCATAATTCATAAGTCTATCGAAAGATAAACCCTCGTGAGAAAATGAAAGTCGCTGATTCACAAGGTCGACGGTACTCAAGTGGATTTAAGTCGAGTGCGTGTTGCACAACACCGTTTTGCTACTTGTAACAGATTTGTTTTGGACCGAATATCCCTATTCCACATTTGCTACCATACTAGTTATATAGCCTCATACATAGCATGAACATATTCCAAAAATTTAGTGATGCTAACACTGAGAGTACAACTCAATCTTTGTAATTCGGTCGGTTCGGTAATTCTAAAATGAGGAATAAACATTGGGCTAATAATTTGGGAAATTGATACTAATGTGACAATCCTGTATGAAAAGCAATAAAGACATAATTATTAATTTCGAATAACAATTTATAATGAAACACAAATATGTGCTGTCTGATTCCAAATACAGTCGAGTAAATTCTCATGATTTGTGAGGAAAATTTTTGCGAGAATGTTCAAATACCATAAAATCCACAGTCAACTTTTGCCATAGGTTGTTAAGTGAATTTTAGCACGATCATTAACGAAACGATATCATAGAAGTAGATATAAAACTGATCACAATTTTTAAAATAATTGGTCTCTAAAAAGATTGTAGCAACTCCTGAAACACCTATACAAACGAAGACGTAACTGATGCGTGTTGTTATATTGGACAAAACAAACAAATTTAGAGGGATATTTTGTTAACACTTCCAATTATGAGATTTTATAATTTTGCTGTTAGGCTACGTCATTTTAGCTTCGTTTCAGCTGTTCCTAGCAACTGCTGCGTATCCAATTAATGACTGGCCAAAGTTTGTTGAAATGTACCGGTACTCTTGCCAATGGAATGATAATCTTGGTAAAAATCCAGGCGTAAATATCCCGAATTATGAGTTATTTTGTTACGCAAATGTAAGCATTGTTGCCTTCTGCTTGAGATAATCCAGATATACACAGCTGGCACACACTGCGTGCTGCATCAATATTTGGATTCCATTACTTGACTTTTTAATTGAGTTAATATCGTAATCGGAATTTTGTCAAGCAAGCATTCTTGTATATATATATATACGTCATTGTATGGGAATCCATCGATTCGTGAATAAATTTTCCAACATTTGCCGCCACCCTATAGTTAATATAAAAATCGTAATCAAAATTGACAGTCACAATAACCTAATAAGAAATACAAATTGAAGAAAGCACAATGTCTTTACAAATCATGTGCGCAGGTGACATAAAGTTTGACAAACGAAGCGGGCGGTGTCCCTATCCGCATCATATCATTTTAAAGAATCACTTGATTAAAGTCGGATGTATTCGAAAAGCGCAAAGAAATTGTTGAGTTGAGTCAACAACTATTAAATATGATTTTATTTGTAAACAAACGACAAATTTCCTATAGCTAATAATTGCCTCACAATAAGCAAATTGACTTACTGGGAGGCGCATTTGCGTTAGTTTTGTATTGCCGTCATGCCATGGATATGTAAGTATGGCTGACAATGCTTACCTTGCGCCTCGCGGTTTTATAACTGGTAACATCCAAACAAACACGACCTATTATTTCATTGACAATTTGCCGGAAACGTGGGGCTGGTGTAGCCAAACCAAACCTTGGACTACCTTTACAATAATAAACAGGGTACCCCAACAGGTGTGACATTATATGAGTAGATAAACAAGTCGTGTGCGACCCGTTTTACGGTTAGTGACTGTCCAAAGAGAACGAGCACACATGATGATACACATGTTGATGGTACTAATGATGTGCGTATGACGTGTGGTAAGGCATGTGAAAGAAGATTTACGCCACAATTCATATGCTAAGTCCTATCTGTCCAGAGTGTCAGTAGAGAATAATTACTTTGACTGAGATATGTATCACAGAGGAATTTATGTATTGCTTTTTGATAGCACACAATGAATTCCAACACACAATATTGCGTGGGGTCCACAGTACCGTTAACGTCTGTCTTCGTGTAATAAATTACAAAATAATATCTCCATGAATACTCAGATATATGTACTGATAAGTTCTACCCTAATTGAAACAGTACTATCGCTTTTGCACAATGAAATGAATTTGCCTGAAATGAAGATGAAACTGGATTCAGTATTGGAGACCAGTAGACATGTTCGCATTCGTCAAAAACTTCACTTACATTTTACCTTTTGTTTAGCATCTAGGACTACTTCCACCTGGGCACATTTTTACCGTTTTCTAACTGACGGGTTATAATTTACCGGAATTGATCAATACAGTAAGATTGCCGACATGAATGATCACACTCCTTCGTTTATACATGGGTCGACATGAATTAGTAAATAACTGAGTGTTTAATCAAGGAATGGGCAAGCTGTGTGCGACATGTAGCCCGACAAAGCATTTTATGTGGCCCCTGCTCTTGCATAAAATTGTGAACATTTCTTACAACAACATGCAAAATTTAGATTTTATTTGATGTACACAAATTTTAAATATATGTAAATATATGATAAGGCACTTTGCAAAAATGATTTTTTGGATGCGACTTTTGAGAAAAAACTCTGCCCACACATGCGGACAACGAAATTGCCGACAGTTGTCTAAAGCTCGTTAGCTTTCCGGAGTCCTATCAGAAGCAAAAGAGTGAAGTGCTCCATGAAATGAACATTGATATGGGCACAGAAAACTTCTTATTTGTGCATATTTATTTAATTATCTACAAGAGCTTCCAGACTCAAATGAAAATGTAGCGTCCACACATATAAATACCGCTGAAATTTAAGAATGCTGCTAATATGCAGTGGCGTATAGAAAACGAAATCATTTTATTGTGTATTATAAAACTTGATAATTACGTGTATGTAATCTATGTTTGGCATTCGTTGTTTCAATTCTCAACCGCGAATCCGCGAAGCTTTTGAATTCGGAACTATATGCTCATTCCTAGCTGTTTACTGAGATGACCAATATAGGCTATTATAGGCTTCACAATACAATATACAACACGGTGAATGTCTTATAAAGTTTATTTCACTTTGGCACATAAAAGCAGTAATCTGCTACAATAGCAGTCAAAATATGAATAGCAAAGGAACAAGTAAGAAATAAAGTAAATAGCAACTCACGAAGATTTGATGTACTAGTCTTTTATAATGACATTGATAGAGAAATTCAGCACTAAATGCAATCAAAGAACTAAAAATCTAATTGTATCTAAACAGCCATAATAGTCCAAAACTGTGTATTTATAATTATAACAACTATAACCATGATTTAAAATAAAATTGTAAATTATGTGGGTTTTACATGATCTAATTGTAACATTAAAACTTGGAATTACCGTGGATGAAAAACCCTCTAGGGCAAGGGTTTCCAACCTTTTTGGTAGAGTGAAAACCTAATGAAATACGTCAGAGGCTTAGAGTATTTTTTATATCAAAAATTAGGAGAAAAAAAATTGAAGAACAGCATTATAAAAATATATTTAGCACACGATATGTAATCTATCTACTTTTAAAAAACCGAAACCGGATCCAAGTTGAAAAATAAAATCCTCAGCCCTAATTCATTTTTCCGTGAAGTTGACCCTAAAATAACTTAATCAATAAAATAACGAATAATAACTAGCGTCATCAATAGCATGTGCTATAATTGATGGCCTATGATGATATTTGTTACCATTTTTTCTTCTTCTTCAAAACGAAAATTGAAATGCAATGCCCGATCAAACTTGCAACTTGTACGTCATATTGATTCAATAGCTGAACGGAGCATTCGCTAAATTTGGCCTTTTATCAGAAACGAAATTTTTGTAGTAATTTATAACATTCTTGCAGTTTTCAATAATATTGGTGAGTAGTGTTCCAGTCCTCAAGACTGCATATTTTCCGAATCTCGCCCAGCGAGATATTTTGTCGTCGACTAGTAAATACAGTATATTATCATAATGTCTTAACGCCAGGCGCATTTCTCGGCACTACGGGACCAGTTCTTGTTGTTTGTTGAATCAAAGCGTTGCTAATTCCGCGAAATGGTGCCAGGTTCGCCGGCGTCATGAATGGAAAGGCAGCCGCAAATGCACTAAATGGTGGTTGAGTTGTTAGTTGCGGCAAAAGTCCAAAATCAGGTCGTGACGTCGGCATCGTTCCACACAAAAGATTCGGACCTGAAATTCTTTGATCAGAAATGCTGTGTTGATGAAGTGGTGGCAAAAATGGACCACAGCCAATGGGGGGCATTGACGTCCACTGCGCTTTCACGTCTGAAAAGATAATTTGAATAATATATGATTTGAAAAAAAAAACAATGTACTTATAATATGAGTATATAAGTTGAAGTTTTCGAAACATATACACTATCGTCTGTATTTCTGTCATCAACAAAGGGAATCCTTAGAAGAAGATAGAGAGTTTGTAACAACAAGCTAGCTAGGAAATATCTCTATCGTGTATGTCCTTCATAAAGTCACGTAAATGAAGCTAGGACATACATCAAGCTCATATGCAATCACATTGGGTAAACCACGTTTTGAACAAGCTTATTCAACGCCATTTTATATATATCTAGACTTCAAACATACCTTCATGTTCTCGTCTTGCTAGGGAGCTGTGAAGATGTGTAAGAAGTCTGACGGGCAAAGGTTCATGTGGCTCCATTCCTTCAATTGACATGAGATATCTGGCAACCTCGGCGGCGCATTCTCGAAATCCAGCACTTCTGAGGTCAAGTCCGGTTGTAGGAAGGTACAATGAACCTTGTAGCGCCTTAAATAACATTAACGGGTTCTTTTTAATTTAGTTATACCGTAGTAGTACAGGTTGTTTGTTTAGAATTTATATTACATATATAAAGGACAAAACTTCCAACATTGTGTTCTAAATATTTCCACACGTCGCCAGTGTGGGAACAATATGCAAGCAGTTGAAACGAGAGGCTAAACTGCATGTTAAATAATATTGCCTATATTATAACATTTGGTTTGAACGACCCTTTGAATCCAGAATCGCACTGTAATTCTACGGCTCATTGTAATGATGTAACCATGTATTGATATTACACATGCGCCGATATAGTCTTCTAATTAAATGAAAAAACCTCTTTTTTACATTTGTTTAAGACAGAACTATTGTCATATTATGCTGCAATATCGAAATTACCTTCAAATGCTCCACTGTAAGTTGTAAAATTTCCGCCTTTTCTAATTTTGCGCAACCTTGTTTTTCGTTTGCTGTCGGTACCAAACGACGAAGTTCCGACAAACTGTTGTTTATTCTGTCTCGCCTTCGTTTTTCTATTACCTATAAGTTGATAAAAATTGCTACTTTAATACTGATGGGTACTTTACTCTAAAATTGCTAAAAAATAAAGTAGTTGTAATTAATTAGTAAATATTATCATAATTCATTATCATATAAGCATACATAAGTCGAACATGAAAATTAATAAAGCTATTGTTATGCATTTTAGTTTTTTGCACTTTGTTTTTGTGGATCCCTAGCTATTCAATTTCATTTAACTTCTTTTATCAGAGACAATACCACCCGTTTAGATTGTATTGAATTTCTTTTAATAGTGAGAGAGCGCAAGGTTTAGAAAATTATCGCTGTCACCAAAATTCTCACTCTATCAATCATTAGATAGATTTTATTGTCCATTTTGGGCGGCAAAATAACAAATGTGTATTGGATCATTAAAATTTCTTCTCCTAAAAATGCTACGTCATGGAATGGTGACAAATCAAAAATTCCCTCCCCTATGACCTTTGACAATGTTTAATTAATATAACAACGGGAAAATAATTTATCTGACTATTTCTTGATTTTGTTTACTTATATCATTATTATTTTGCATGATATACTCTCTTTTCAGAATTTCACAATCGTGCATCTAGGTTTCAGTTTTCTGCTAAAAGATGGCGTGTTTTTGGAGAAACATGAATGATAGAATAGATAGAAAACTTTATTCTGAAATCACCTGTTTGGCAGATTTCGAGATGAGATATAGAATAAATAGGCTGTGTGGGAACATTCAAGTGTCCGCCTTGTGTCTATCGTGTTTTGTTACGAAGAAGCGTGAGACCGCTGGCTGACACTTGTAAGAGCGGCGTTTCTATTGTCAATCGAGCGGGCCCGCAAATGGGAAAGGACATTGTTTATATTGACTGCGACGAGTAATGTGTTTGTGGTGGTTTGTTAGGGCGGCGTGCCTCTGTAACCTGACACGGCGCAAGTGAAAACACCCTCTTTACCGAACCGATAGTTCCCACGGTCCCGAAGCGTTTGCTATTCCTTCACATAAATAAGGACTTAAGAGTACGACACGGAGGTCCGCTTTACCCCCGCGACTACTAATTGCATACACAGCTTCCGTTACACAACACAGCACTACGTAATACATAATATAGGTTTTGTTTGGCATCGAGATAAACAGTTTTAACCACTACTAAGCTATGCGGTCAACGTGACTGGGTATCAACTCACATTTCGGTGCTTTGGTTACTAATTCTCATCGTTCGCTGTATATTTATACTTTATTTATATATTTTTCAAGTAAAAAAATATTTGGCTTATCTGGCTCACGTAAGCTATAAAAGAACGCTTTAGTTTGGGATGATGGCGTTAATTTCAATCGTATTCATTCCAGGTGTTTTGTTTATATCCCTGACCCCGATTAAAGCTGTTTTGTTTGAGTTCGACTTTGGCGTTATTGGTTTTATTGACGTTTTCTCACGGTTCAAATTTAAAAACGTCACTTTCAATCGACAAAAGAAACATCCCGAATTTTGTCAAGTTAATAGGAACGATAAATTCTTTATCATTTTAATGCATAAAAAACTCTGAATCCATATTTTAGAAGTATATATTAAAGTTTACATAGGATTTTGAGCAGGAACTCAAAATAAAAAGTGCTTCAAAATAAATGCGAGAGAAAATCAGCCCTCAATACCACCAGAAAAGTTAAAAGAGCAACTTTTTGAAATATTAATAACAAAATTTTAATGCTTTATCGCCGCTGTAAGCAACAGATAGACTTCATGGAGAATTTAAGATGACGCGCCATTCGCTCAAGTATCATCTTCTAATATTTCTCTAAGATCATTGGCGACATGACTTCATCATATATAAATATTCCCGAAAACAAATTATTAGACAAGACATTAGTACAATGTAGATAAATTTTCTTCATAAGCTGCAGTTTTGACCCCCAAAAAGCTTTGCGCGCGTCGGGAAAATATTCATGTAATATTATATTATTACACGTGAGTCAATTTACGTGTGAAACACGTGTGAAAATTTACAATTGAGCTCAAAAATCGTTAAATACTAATTTATAAGATACTATTTGCATTTCATCTGCAGTTTGAAAGTGTTTACGCTTCTGGCGAAGCATTATTTCTTACAATTATAGAACATATTACGAAAATTTTAGTTAAAACCTCCGTTTTTTTATTTGTTTATTTTTTACACTATATTTTGAGATATTTCTTTCCCACTTGCTGCGATGACATGAAATAAACCTATAATTTGTGCTTTTATTTCAAAAAATTTGATTTTCCACTGTGGCAAAGCGATAAATAAATTATTTCATTGCCGATTATGGTGGGAGTAATGACAAAATTTTAAAAGAATGGAACAAAAGCGCAGAATTATTTTAACGTTTATTGAATTTGAAATATATATTGAGATACGTAGGCCATCAAACTCGAAAACTATATCTAAGTAATTGGATACGAAATTACTACATTTTTGACAAAAAAATATTCAGTCTTTTTCGCCAAAGTGTATCCAACCGCTAAAATCATCACTCAAAAATTGATTTCAAAAAAATAATGAATGTGAGTAAAAAGTGTGATTTGGGTTAAGGATTTCGAATTAGAATCCCGTTAATACATTTTTATCGGAAATCATTATCCAAAAATCCGATCATACAATAACAGTCATAAACGGAATACAAGTCATCATTTCAATTTAAACATTGATTTTGTAAACGTGATCCGTCGCTCTCTCGGATATGATTATCAATATTCGAATCATTAAAATTATTTCAACTTTTAAATGTATTTCAGAAATTGAAATACAATTATTTTATGAGATCAGAAGTTGCGCTTATTGCCTTTGTCTCGTTTTAACCTCGAGTTTTCTTGTGCAATCTTTGTTTTCGTAATTTCGAAGTATTTAACACGTTTAACATTTTAAATATAATATTCTTCACATACCCCTCTACGTTTCTTCCTTGCAACTGACTGGGGATCGCTCGAAGATGAGTATCTAAATAATTTAAATAAAAAACTGGAATCAGGTTAATTTACACAATTGTTTTATAAATACGTGTTTTAAAATATGTAAAAACGATGTAAATGGATATAAGTTAATTTTTTAGTCAAATGAGTAAATTTTGGTGATAGTTGATAAACATCTACAAAAAATCCGTGTTTTTGATCAGGTGAAAATATACGGTGCTTTGTGCTGCCAAAGTGAGAAAAGATTCATTTTGATGAAAATAAAGATTTTTGTATAAATGTTTTGAATCAAATATAAAAAATTAAATACCTTCCATTCTCTCCGTCCGATTCTGAATCACTGAAATATCTTTTCATTTTTCACAAAGTGTTGCTAATTTATTATATTTGATGTATTTTATATTTACGGTTTTCTGTAAAAAAAAAAAAATTCTGAAAAAAAAAAACTTGATGCGAATCCACCGGAAATATAAAAGTCATTTCATTTTATTCAATAGTCATAATTAGCTAAATATACCTTTCTTTAACCAATTTTCAAGTAACTCTGAACACAATGATACTGAAATATTGCCACCTAAAACTATCCGCCACCCATCTCGACGATATCCCTCAAATGAAAACAACATTAGCGAGGTCGATGAGAAGTTTGCTACTCGACATGCCTTTTTTGCTACGTGAATTATACCCTCCATTTTGTTCTAAACAATGTCGGTGGATGAAACATGCACCTGAATATCGAACTATTTTCCTATTTTAAGGTGAGTCAAGCTAGGACTTATGATCAATCTATTTTTCAGATATAGGCTGTAATCATGATCACGCCTGGTGTAATCTGAGTTTGTTTTTACCAAAATATTTCATATCGCCAGCCGCAACAAAAAGTTTTCACACGCGGGATTCAGTCACCCGCGTACGCCGCAGTCGTGTAGGCGTCGTCTCTCTTTTCTGTATCTCTCGAAAAGACAAGTGTCGTTGATTGATGTCGCAATGCTAGTAATGATGGTCGACTTGAAAAAAACATTTGCTTTGATATATTTAATGCCCTGTACTCAAGATATTTCATAAATACAATCTTATTTTTGTTCTTTAATGTTTTAAATTCGCCTAAAAGTTTCTTTTTTGATTACGTTTAAAAGTTATTTTGATGTCCGAACAGCATTGCTACTTATTACACTTAAACAAAAAACGGGTCTTTTGTAGAAACTCTCGCCACTAAAGCGAAAATATGAGATTTGAGAAAAAACGCCACGTTTTAAAGTAAAAAAGTAGTAATTATCCAGTTAGGGTTAGAATATTTTGAATTTCCAGCGTAATCTGTACTTGTTACCATAACCCAGGGGTCGGCAAACTACAGCCCGCGGGCCAGATCCGACCCGCGACGCTTCACTGAATTATATTAATGAAACAACTGTATCGACGAATCTATTCCTCACGTAACAGAATTTGTTTTGAGCCACTGAATTATAATATAACCTAACAGATATATAGTTCACAATCACTCGTTTAATGAGCCTACAAACTGATTATATTTAGACAAATGGCAACAGAACGTAAAAAAGTTGATGTTGAGTGCAAATAGTTCAAAGGCGCAGAAAATATTCAAATGATCAGTCTTCGCGCGCTGCTTAAAATTTAACTGAAATCTGTGTGAAAAAATGTGATTTATTGCCCATTTCCTCGGTTTTCAACTTTCTAAAAATATGCCAATGACTTGCAACCTTTACTTTAGGCCCGTATACGACAAAAGTTTGCCGACCCCTGCCTTAACCGAATAATAACTACTTTTTTTGAGCGATGGCGGGGGTGTTTTTGGGCGTTTTTTTTACAAAAGATCCAAAAAACATCTTATTCTTACTTTACCTTCTTTAACAATGAAATACTCGTGGCAGTCTGTAGAGTAGCAGGGGAAATATATATGGAAAAAAGGCCAAAAATTGATGTTTGGAAGGTGGATGAAAACTTATAACATCGTTATTCTTCTCAAATTGAAAAACAAACTTCGCTGAACACAAATAAAATCGCTGAATTATATTGTATAGTTGTGGCCGTGGAAACAAAATTGCTTTCCTCGTGGTCAAATTGCTTCCAACCTTTCAGTAGCTAAAGTGTGGTGTTTCTCGTAGTATTGACATCACTTTATTTTTGACAATACATATCCTGTATCTTTACAATTAAAACTGGTTGATTTGATTATAAGCTTTTTGATCTATATTTGAAATTATGTTGTTGGAAAATCGAACTTAAATCCGGTCGTATGTTTTATCCTCCGACACGTGGATGGCGTGTGTAAGAGCACTCCATTTATAACGAAAATTAGGGATTCGATACGGTATCGGTGACTTCAATTTAATTATATCCCAATATAAAAGGCGGTAAACGTATGAGATGCTTCGTCTTCAAATATACACTATTCTAAAGATATTCAGTGTTACCGACTTTTTCTGTAGAATAGTAAAATATTCCAATCAATTTATACAGTTGTAAATATTTTTGTGGACAAATTTATGTCGAAGTGAAAAGGAGATGATCATAATTTTTGACGCCTTAAAACTGGACTAAATAATAAAATAGAGCATTCAAAAGCGAGCCAATCATGACTATCTGCTTTGCAAATAGGAAGAATTAAAGATGAGTGTATGAAATTCTCATATAATCCAAACTTGAACACCCATTCCGACTTATAACTCTGCGATACGATAATATAACATTATTTTGAAATTCAAAGCGCCAGTTTCCTTTCTAAAATAAATCTCTTCCTTCATTGTCACAGCCGTGTCCAAGAACATCCGATCTTTCAGTTTCGAACACATGTCTTTGAAAGATCAAAAGATGTTCGAATGGTGTTTTATGAATAGGATATAGATCATTCAAAAGCTTACAAACATATATACTTATATGAATAAAATATCTATATCTTGTTATTTTCTTCTTCTATAATATAGGCATTTCAAACCACAGTCACCCCATCACCATGTGCATAATATCGTAAGCCAGATTTGCCACATTGCAAAGTTTTCGGCGTTTTCACCCAAAATAAATTTACATGTATCAGTCCTCACTAGTAATAACAATGTGCGCAGAGAAATACTAACAAAACCAAACAACTACACGAAATGGAGAACAGATTTGATGGAAAGCTACTTTTCGTATACATTTTATATTTCCAGAATTCGTTAATTAGAAAAAGACAGTTTTATATGAAAATATATTTTTATCACCAGGGAGGTTTGTTATCCAAAAGTTGCCTCTACTGTATAAATTTTAATTTTTCTGAACGCAAGCGAACAATTGGCACTAAGGAATAAATAGTTTACGGTATTTAAAATCGCGAAAAGTGGCGAATGTGAGGCCGTTATCCCGGCATTTATTCCCATTAAAAAGCACCCAGCCTTATCTAACAAATGTGTAGATTTGTTGTAAGATTAGATCTTATCACCAAGAAGTTTTGGCGATTTTTATCAGCTTTTAGTAACAGACTTCTGACACCTAGACAAACGATTTTAGCGTAGATACTGACAGGTGGATGTCAACCGGAAAGTCTGAACGGCGTCGACTACAAAGTTATTTTCTGTGACCTAATGTGACGTAACGAAAAACATATTTGCGCCTGCTGTTAGGTCATGTGGTGGGTTAGATTTAGATCAAGATTATAAAAATTGACTATAACCTTGTAAAAACATAAACCTGAATAAATAAGTAAAAAATGTAAATATGAATCAATTTTTAGACTACCGGTATTTTTTTTATTTCTATGTTTTTTTTATTTTTGTGCTAAATCCAGAATTTCCGATGATACACATTGCACATTGTACACATAACATTGTATTATTTATTTGGATCTGTTACATCTTAACGCAAGGAGTTTCTTTTTTGTGGGAAAGTAATCTACCGGCCCTACCTATTCAAGTTATTGCACTCTGGTTATGGAGGTGTACGTGTTGATTGAACCCGAGTCTTTAACACGAGAATCAAGCACAGAGAATTAAGTACAAAATAAACAAATATAATTTAACTAAAATATTGAAGTGTGTTATAAAAGCAGCCAAGCGCCAAGAGTTGAATTGAGCTTAGAATAATAAATCTAATAGAAAGAATATTCGGTTCTTCCGTAGTATGTGCAACAAGATGGCGGAAACCGGAACGTATCGTACGTGCTACAGCAATTTAAGCAAGAAAAGCTATTTACAATTTATAAAATAACTTTAATCGATGCTGTTTGATTCAAATGATGATTTACGCTCCTGTGGAGTTGCATTTGCTATTTGTGACACACATTAAAATTTTTAAATAATATTAATGATTAAAAATATCAAATATGTTCTAAAATGACTAATAATCTGCACAAAATATTTTTCATATCTATCAAGCATAGAATGTTTGAACCTCTCTTTCGCATTCAAAAGTCATGCCTTGTCCAAGAGCAGTCATCAAAAGTCAAATGCTACTTACGAGGTCAAAGATCACCTTTCTATTCTTCAATTATCGGTTCACGCAGACGTTTGCGGTCAACAGAGTATATTTTAGGATTGGCATCATCTTTTTGAAATCTGCCAAACATGTAACATTTCTAATTCCCATATAGAAAGGTAATTCTAACGTCCATTCACGCTTGTTCGGTTCTGTCATTACACTACTCGGACAGTTATGATGCGCCCCATCGCCAGCCTTAACGAGTCCCACTTTCGAAAACGCCGCCGCGGTTCGCCGCTTTGCTGGCGTAAACAACGCTTTGGGTGCGGTGGGAAAAGTAGAGTCACGTGATATAAGTCAAGATTGGGTCGCGTCGGGCGGCGTCAGAGGACGGTTGTATCGTCTACGATTTGGAACAAAACGGAGGCACAAATAAAAACAGGAAAAAATAAAAACAAGAATAATACGATAAACAAGACCCCAATGTCAAGTGCCAAGATCAAGCACCTTTCACCCACCAGCAGAGCTAATTAATATTTTGCATGCATAATAAATTTCAACACAACGATAGTTTTATATATTTATTACGATGTATTGTATTCGAATTCCTGAGCTATTGTCAAATTAAAAAAATTATAGCATATGCTCTTGGCTGGTGTGTTGTCAAACGGTGATCGCTATGACCATATTGATATATATATTTGGTTCGACCATATGAATCCAACATTTGCTTTTAAAATATTGTTTGTTGATGAAAAACAAAGGATGAGTTATTTTCATTGATACGTGCTATATTTGTGTGTTTTGAGCGTTCCTCAATATATTTGTGGAATAGTGCTCTGACCATTTAAATGTTTCAGTTGGACTCAAGTTAGCATAGAGGTTGTGAAACTGGATAATATCGGTTAAAAACTGAATCGAGCAGATGGACACATAGAAATGAAAAGAATCATCGTAATATATCATGGTTATAAGAAAACGTTTCATGTTAACTTGTCTGTAGACGTGATCGTGAAACCCACTAAGAAGAAGTTTATTTCAGCGCCATGTTGTTCCATGCAAACATTGTTATGGAAGACAATAAAGACATATGGAAATCACAATCTTATTGAGTTGGTTACCAGTCACTATTTTTTACAATAACAACTGAAAAATTAGTGTCAAATCTATAAAACAATTTTATAATCTACGTGCTATTCAACGGACTGAAGACATTAAGTCTTGATGGTCCAGAAATTTGCAAGTCATTTCGTCTGCTGGGATTTGCGCACATTCGATTTAGAAGGTATAGAAAAAAGGTTATCTTTGAAAATTATTTTAGTGCAGTAAATTCTGCGGTTGATATGTGATAGGATCTTTCACTTTTTGTGGCCAAGTTGAAAGGAATACACTAGAGAGCGTGAGAAAATAAGCATTGACCTCCGTTCCCGGATTAACTGAACGCGATATCTTGAGCAAGACAAGTGGATCGTGGTTTGAAACGGCCGTTCTACCATTTACCCGAAGGAAAGAATGCAAATCAAAATCTCAATTGAAATGATATTTCAATTTGAGCCATTGCCTGGTCCGAAATATTATCCAATCAATTTGGAACCGTCGGGAATTCCAGTCTAAAGAATTTCCAAGCCATTACAACGACCAACATTTAGACCCCACTCGGAATAAATCTATTTCGTAAGAGAAGAAAAAATTAGGAAAAACTGATTTTTTGAAATTTTTTGAAAGTGTTGTTATTTCATTCTTTGAAATGTAAAGAAATTTTGCAAGAATACACTGCTTTGTTTCAAAATACATCATGCACACAAGTCGTTCTAGCTCTTCGCATGCGTCCCCACAATTTTGGAGTTTTTTATCATTTTATCCAAGTGCGTTAATATTTCCTTCAATAGCATTCGAATTACATATACAATTGGCTTACATTTTTATTACCTGAAAATATAAATTGTGATTTATTACAAAAAGTGACAATATTTTAACAATTAAAAAATGTTTCTAATCAATGCATTTATGAAATCAATCATTTAGTTTTAGATAATTATAATTTTTTTAACTTTTAAACTTATGCTCCAATAAAAAAAAATACTTGTTAACAATAATCCCTGGCAATTTTTATTTAAGATCAAGATAAGATTTTAGCTTAAACATTATAGTCGAGAAGACGTTTGTCATATGGTGTCATATTTCTTTTAACTTGAAGGTAGTTTCATTTTGACTTATTTAATATATCAGATTCAGGCCACTATTAAACGAGAACGTTTACGTGAACTCAGCAAGGAAGCACTCCTCAATTAAAAGAGGTTTTTGAAATACCATTTATATGCAAGGTGTGTTCAAGTGCGCTTATTGTGTGGGATCCTATACTACTATAGTCTATTCTCGTACATTCTTGCTTAATGGAAAAGTGAAGTTTCCAGACCTAAGATATCAAAAACACGTGCTTAACTATGGTTGCTTCAAAAGTAAGTACCTGTAGGGATCACATTCACACGACATGGCATCGTTATTTACCGTAAATAAAGACGAACCTGACCGAACGTCGCGTCAACACCTTCCCACTTTTTAACGCGCAAAAGTGCGTGAAACCCCATATCTATACAACGTCAAGTTGCCACTCGTCGTAAATAGCCTACTCAATGAAATACAATCGTTTCAATATTCTATAAGGACAAAAGGCCATCAGTTAAAAACAACATATACGTGGTCCGCATCAGCGAAAATAGACCGAACATTGAAGCACGCAATTTCTCCTCTACTGAACAAAGAGATATGGCAATCTATCAAACATGGAAGAAGCTTAAATATTCAATGGTACCGTGTGTTACCTTTGAACAGATATAAATTTATTCGTTGAACATTTTCATAATTATCAGCGACAAACAGACTCACTTGCCACCCTTAATGCGACCTTATTTTTGTCTTTCATACGAACGCCGCCTGCATTTGTCTTCGTCACGCTGTATCGTCTTCGAAAAAGTCGCGACCCCGAAAGTGTTTCTCTAATGCGGTTTTTCATTCAAACACGCTTTTGTCGATTCGGGTCGCGAAAGTAGTATTGTGTCATTTTGCCGCCTTTAGATTTAGCCAGGAGTTGGACCACCGGATTAGAAATAATGTCATATACAAGGTTGGAATTATCAACTCAGTAGTCAGTAGTGATTCATGTTGAATTTCACATGGGACTGTGGAATCGAATCGGTTCAAGTGAATTTAGACTTTTGAGCTACCGTGAACTGACAATGATATTGACTTTATCTGCCGATTCCAAGTTGAAAAAATTGATTCTGGCCCCAACTATTATCTTATGTTTAATAAAATATTTGGGTGTTCGATTGGATTTTGTACAATGGTAATTTTTTGGGTGAAATATAAGGCCGGAATTAGACCATGAGACACATAGCCTATGTCGTTGCTGAGACCTGTTTCTAGACGCGAGAGTCGGGGAGCATTATCCCGTTACTGATTAATATAACATTACTGAAAAATAAAATTATCCTTCCATTTTCTAAATAGATCTAAATGAGTCCATAAAAAAAAGTTCGGAGATAGTAAATTGAAATAAACCATGAGTTTGATGTTGCTAAGGTAAATAGTTAGTCTATAGCTAGACAATTATTAATTTGATTAAAAAGCAAATAAGTTTTATAAATTTTCAAATCGATTATATTCTGAAATAAGCCTTTAAAATTAAAAAACGTCTTGAAAATGAAGTATCGTTTCAAAGTGAATACCGGAGCCGCCAAGGCTTGAGGCCCATAGGCTTCAGCCCACCTTGTCTGATGGTAAATCCGGCACTGGTGAAATATCTTGGCTGTAGGCTTCAGAAAAATTGAAAAATAAAAGCAGTTGCTAGCGAATTTCCAATTAGTGGTGAAAAGAGCTTCTCTAATAACAACGACATTTAAACTTAGAGAAAGCACTTAGCACGAAAATAGCCACCAAAAGAAAAACAGTTTTCATAAATCAGAACTAATTTATTGAGGTAGATGTCACAATTAAAAGCAAAAGCAAATATAAAGCCCGAAAATAATGGATAATCATGGGTCACTGTTTGCTGTCGGACTGGAGACAAATGGTAGAAATGTTTTCGTGAAAAGAGTCACAAATATCGGCGTTGTCGTCTGCTATCCCAGGCTGTCGTATTTTCAATAATTTATTTTATTAAGCTGAAACCATTAATAACTGAGCCCAAAATACGTCTGTGGATCATTTTGATGAGTTGTTATTAAAATTGTTTCTGAAAAAATGCCTGTTCGCCAATCGTTACTCGATAGTCGGTGGTCGGTTAGAACCGGCACCGATGCTTGACCTCTGCGTCCCTATATATTTGGGCATAAAACTTGAACCCGACATTTAAGGTTTAAGGCTGTTTTTTTTTGTTAATGTATAACAGATACTATTGATATGTCTTGGCAACGCTAAGATGCTTCGATACGAAAGACTCTTCACAGAATGTCATCGACTTTGTCGGAGGCTACATCTTCAACCATATTGTTTCTCGTGCAGCAATAACTCGAACGTTTTATAAAGTATTGGATAAATTCAAACACCGTGATGAAACTCATACCCACCCATAAACCAAGCTGACCTCCTATAGTAAAATAAAAATAAAAATGAATAAGATCGTTTTCGTATTATTAAATTTTTTCAAAAAAATTTAGTCTTGTAACATTGCTTGGGAAAAGTGATACAACGTTACATATTTATCCTGTTGATGAACATGCTCTTTTCATTTGCATTTGTCATTGCCAATCACTAAATAATTTTTCTATGTTGTTACAAATTCGGCGTATAATGTCCGGGCCGTTATCCATTCAAGAACAGAGAAGAATGGGTTAAAAAGTTATTATTGAAGTTGTGGATTCTTCGGTGTAAGACTAGATACAAAATATACTCTGATAAAAATCCGGTTACTCGATAACTCTTGCATACCTACGTCACTCAAAAGTCCAGATTCGTCAATTTTTTTAGATTGTGTGTAAATGTTATAACTCATACTGTTGAAATAAACCTCTAAATTCAAGATATTTTTGAACACGTCTTCTTCTTGTATTTCATTGAATGCCTATAACAATACAGAAGTAATCGAATTTCATTTAGTTTATTAAAATATTTGGTAATGTCAATTTGTTGACCAAATCTTCATCCACCTTCTGAATAAATATATTTGATATGCTAAATACCATGCAACAAAGCAGAAATGAACTACTTGAAATGTCCCTCGTCAATCCATATGCAATAGCACCAGCAACGTTTCTTTTAAAAAACTTTTCTCATTTTTGAGAAGGTACCTTTGACCACTGAGTGTATAAATATACTTATTATAGTTAATGATGGTATTCAGGGGGTTCGGCACAAAATTCAGCGAACCCGGTCTTATTTTTTGGTTTCAGACATTATACAATCGCAACATCGACTAGTGTTATATTCAGCAGTTATGTATTTGATTTATGTAAAGCGTGACTAATGTAGCTTAGGTAATACATATTTATAAAAACCACAAACTTGGATCATAATATCATCTTGGCAAAAGTTACTAAAGCTGATGAAACCGAGTGGGAAATTAGGAATATGATAGAATTAATGTTCCAAATAGCCATTGAATGACCTCCAAGTGTTGGGCTACTGTTTGGGCTACCGCTTACCATTATGTTTTCCAATGTTGTAATTCCTGGAAAGGTTGCATATGACACTGAAACGTCATATTTCGTGAAGTGGCAAGGCGTAGTACAATTGCAATCACTTGTGGAATACTAATGATAGAACGTAAATATAAAATAATGAAGAATCAAGTCAAAACACATATATATGTCGAAGAATCCATTTTGAACATTTAATTCCAACTTGAATGTTGCTGTACCAATTTGATCGGCTAATCGCTATATTGAAACAGTATATATTCAAATTACATTATGCAAATTTTATAATAAAATCCAACATATAGTTTATACATATGTACAGTTTTGTACTGTAAGATATATTGAATATTTCAACCGTAGTACTCACATTTTGTTTCAGTTCAAATAGAAATTGAGAGGCACATTTTCGAACTTGTCCCAGTGTACATTCATCTGCGTCCTCTTTGGCCCAGTGTTGCGTATGCCATCTGCATCCACATTGGCGAATTAACAATTTGGTGAAACATTCTAAAATGATATTATTATCCATTAGTCATATAGTTTACATCATTAATTCATTTTAATATTTCATCTATCAATTTATATTAATAGGTCATATTGATGCTCACAAACGCAGTCATAATATATTATATTGGAGCGAGGTTTGGGTCATTTTGAACCAATCACTTTTAATAGGAATCGCAATTGTTTTCCCGACAGTTAAAATAGGCGAACATCGAGTCAATATTTTCATCGGGACCAGTTTGTAGCAGATTAAATATCTAGGCACCACAAGCAGGAATCAAATTTGTCCTTTTTGAATGGATCAATGTCGATTGTTGAATGAAGTTAAAAACTAACGATTCACAGAAAAACACAAATGTATAAAATGCAACCTTGTTCGCAGTTGTGAAGAGTGTATGTGTTGAAGTATTTCAATTGTTCGTTCGTCGTATTACATCTTCCCCATGGTTCATACATCAAATTGTAATCTGTTCTTTTAACAGCAAGTAATCCTTTTATTCCTGTTGGTATCGCTATACCGAATGTTTCCACGTCAGGAATTTCATATCTAGGATGAACCTGTGATTATATGAATCATCAAGAATGGCATACCTTTTGTAAAATTATTCGAATTTCGTGATTGTTGAATATGAAAATACAATTACAATTTTGTTAAAACATGGTTGTAGATAGCAGGCTCATCTCGGATTAAACTGAGGTTTTATTATTGAGTAAGAGTTATCTTATCAAGAGCATAAGTAAATAACCTATAGGGCACCTGACGTACAAGCATTCACAATAATAGAATAACACGTGAATTTTTTCATTTTTAAACTAAGTTCTAACAAAGGAGACGCTTCAAAGTGCCCCTAAACGTAATATTACCTCGGACTTAGAGTTGTATGTATACAACGAGTGTAATTCACAAAATGAGTTCAGATTAAACCAAGTAAATTGGTAATTTAGGAAATCATTAAAATCGTTTATGAAACTTCATATCTGGTTTGGCAACTCCAAGTAGAAAAAAAATGGAATCGATCACTACCTATTGTTTATTCAATAAGTTGTGACCAAGATACATATACTATCGCTAACAATAATTGTGACTTATCGATCTCGGTCGGTAAGTATGTTGATAGGTATTTGTCTGTTTGTTTGTTTGTTTGTTTGTTTGTTTCGTATGTTACGCGATATCTCACGAAAGCGAGGCTGCTCCAAATTTTGCATGTGCGTTCATCAGGTATCGAAACCGCAAGTCGATCAGTCGGCGGTCTCCGATCGCTATCTAGTTTAAAATTTCTTCTTGGCATAATTAGAACAATTAAACTCAAACCTGAATTTTGATGCCTGCTTCCATAATACCATGCAAAGGTTCTTCAGTATATCGCACTTGCTTGGCGTCGATTTCCATAGAGAAACCATTTTCCGCTCCGGGAACGTTTTGGTCCAATACTCTCCCTTCCTTATTAAAGGTAAAACATTTACCGAGTGAAGATATTGATTCTGTAAACTCCTCTTGACGACAAGATCTTGATCTATATCTGGTGCATAAACAAATAATATGAAATATATCAACAGTGATTATTATTTTCGAATTGGACCTTGTATCATTTCGCCGTTGTTGTCGCTTTTCTCCTCGGATACTGGATCAAACGATTGCAAATTTTAAACGTTTCGAAATGATGAAGGAAACCGATATTTTTTTTCAAGTTTTTCTGGGATCGCTACTTCAGTCTAAATTTTACCTTATTAATTTATCTCATGGGAAAACTTTTGTGCGAACTTTGATCTTCGTGTCCATGTATTTAAGTGCTGCTCGCTTGGTAGCTATGGTATTATTGCTTTATTTGTATATGTGGTAAATCTATCACTTTGGCCTATCACAAGTGTCGTAATTTCATGAATTACACAAATAAGCGGTCTTGATCTCACCCTGTTTTCCTGAGAATATAGACTGAACATCTATAATAGGGGTTGGCAAACTGGGATACATCTACCCCCAGGGGTACATTTCGACTTTTAAATGGGTACTATGGATAAAGTATATTGATATTCTTTCCATAACTTCATAACTTCTAATCTGTCCTAAAATATTTCAAACCCGATGTTAATTTTTCGAAGTTGAGAACTTTTCAATTTTGAAGATTTTTGCAAATGTAGGGGGATATTATGAGTTACATACCTATAAAAATATTAATTGTGCATCAAAGCAAGTTGAGCATAGCAACCAAAACTATGAAAAAATTTTGGGGGTACATAAACGAATCAATATATTGTCCGAGGGGTACCGATGAACAATAACCCTGATCTATATTACAAACATTTTCAATATTAAGTCACATACTTGCAATGCTTTATGTCTGGTCCAATAAAGAATCCATATTTGTTGATATGAGCTGTTATATTGAAATCGTCACCAAGCTCGTCAAATTTTTCCTCGTTTTCTTTTGTTATATTTCTTGATATTTGGGTAAGGGATGTCAAACGATTCAACGCATGAAACTGTCTCAAATCAAGAACTGATGACCTAGGCTTAAAGTATCTGGGTGAAGAAAATATATAACAAAATTAAAAACTAAAATTTTCTTAATCTAAGCTATTATTTGGCGTTTAGTCTAAACTTGTTAACGCTCGTACTCGTTAGCTGGCGATAGAGACATCAAATTATTCGTTTGTTATAAGCATTGTGATCTGTGATTTTAATTTGAATAAAATATATATGAATATTTTTTATTGCACTATTGAAACTAAATTGCAATCTTTTCATGTGAAGATTTGTGAAACAATAGATTGTATAAATTCAAAATTTTCCCATCAGAGATATGTGATTTCTGTAAATCTAATGTTGAAAATACTAGCCAATATTTTATGATTATATAATTGTTCAACAGTTTTGGAAATATCTGAACATATAGACATATTCAAAAACAGGAATAACTTTCAACTTTTCAAAAGAGATTGCATGGCGGGATATGCTAGTAATTTTCATAACATATTGTTTAATTGTATCCTTTTTCTTGATACCCGGCTTTATCTAAATATCGATGCAAGATACAAAAATTCAAAGCCTTTGTTCAATTTATTTACCACCTATCTGTATGAAGTGAGGGAAATTGAACGGTTCATTGCATACAAAAATGACAAAATAAAGGGATAATATCAAAAATGGAGAATTTCAAGATACATATATATACAATAATTGATTGTATTTATATGATTATGCATGTATAATTTCGGATTGGTGATTAATAATGCAGTAACTGTGCCGATCAACTGTGTTTTATATATTAGTGAATATTTTGACACGCATCATTGCGATCATTTTCCATAGGCAATTCTGTATTTTGTTTTATTGAGATGCGAAAGAAACGTTGCTCTACCAAGCTCTATTACGTAATCAATAATTCTAATAGTAATAACTAGCAAATAATCGGTCTAAATACATGAACTTACCGGTTAAAACTACAAATGGTGATAGCTGGAAATTCTAGAGAAGGTACAAAGACTTCGGATATATCTGTCGTCGTTTTATATTCGAAGTAAGAACTTATCCTACTATAAATTTGCACAACCAACGATATAACCATTCCTGCAAAAAGAGAAAGTCAATTATTAGCTCTTAAGATTCAATTTTAAATAATATATTATAGTTGAAACAACATAATATATATATATTACTCTAAAACCATACCTGCAATTAATACCAGCCATGTTATACGGACGATCATTTTCTCACCCGTGCAAAAATATGATATGCCGTGACATGATGTTGACGTCACAAATTCTTTGTCCGTCTCAGAGATTAAATTTGCAGTTTGCTGTTGTCGAGCATTCTTGTTTTTTGTATCAGGCATCTTAATATCGAATTTTGACGTTATCGAACTTTCATTTGAAAAAAAATAGATTACTGTAGTCGTACTTGGTTAGATCCAGCGGACTGGACTTTGAAATGTTGGTTGCCAATGCTTCTAGTCACTGAAACATTCGTAGTTTGTTTTCACCATTGTTTATGGAGAATTTCAGTTATGCGGGTACTTCGGTACCACTGAGCCTATCTCCTGATCATATTAGTTTGGACATTTACAAATTTTGCATCTTATCATTTAGTTATCGTTGGTGACTTTCCTCTGCTATAAATTTAAATCACACACAGAAAAGTGTGCGTGTGGCCATACTCAAATTCTCAAGAAGAGATGTTCAACAACAACATCCTTTCGTCAAAATTTAGTCATAAACATATCCAATGTTATTGGTCATTACCTTCTTTAAATATGTCTTCGCTATAAGTTCCTCTTCGTTATAGTTCTCTTGCGTGCTTGTTTCTGGAACGTCCTACCCCAACCCAGGAACTAAGACAACTGGTAAAGCCATTAGGCTTTTAAATCATGGTCAACCCAAGAATTTTACAGGAATTGCCCCAATCATCGTTGTTTATTTATGACACCATATTCATAATTTATGTTTCCTTGTAGCTGTGATAATTTGTTTTTATTGTCACAAATGATCAATTGGTCGTAGGATTTCCACGATATAGTTTGTTGGAAGTTGTGATCAATTATTGAAGTCTGCGCTGTAATATGAATTGTTACCCTCATGATTTGTTCAAATCAAATTTTCACATTCCAATCCATGACTTTGAAGTCAGTCTGAAATTGAAAGATGTTTTTTGCAATTTTTGAAAATTGGAATGATAAAGAAACCGTTGATTTGATTTGGTAAACGAATTGACTACCACATATTTCCATATAAATTGCAACTTTGCGAATCGAGACGATTGATTGTATTTTACCAAGATAAATGTAATAATGTGTCATATAATGGTAGAAAACGGAAATATTACTATATTTTTCCTGTCTTCTTTTTATAGTTTGCAAATGATCAATAGGTGTGACAGCCAATCGGTTCGGATCAATATAACTGAGTGTTCAATTTTTTATCACCTTTTGGCGCAAGGTAATAAAAGGTATTGATAAGGAACACAGGAGTAAAGAACAATTGAATCTGTTTACTCGTCTCAGCACAGGGAAAGAAGTTGAACATATGCTTGTGTTGCTCAAAACTATTCTTGTCTATTGAGCGTTTCCAATGCAGTCTACAATGCTCTTCGTGGTCTTTATTGTCTTACATTGAAATAACAACAAAAAAGGTATATCTAACCATGGAATCGGCTTAAAAACTGATACTGTACAGTTTATATTGGAAAGCAAATTGCTGCTATCAAAATATTGGGCTATCGTAATCATTGAACTATTATTGTAATTCTAATACATTTGTTTTCTCAGGATATCTCTACAATATAAAATCAAAATATAAATATTTGCAATAGCATGTGTATCTTTCCGAATTCATTTGATTTCGTATATATTTGTACACGGCCTCATTATTTCTTTACCAACGGATAGGTTGTAAACATTTTAAAATTATTCTCAGGGTAAACATCGATTCGTTTTTCATTTTCATTGACGTTTTCTTGATTCTACTATTGATTGAATTAGCCGAATTGTTTCCTTTTTTATGGTATTTTGATTAAGTTGCAGTAAACAAAAACCGACTACAAAAAGATTTATGGTAGGCTTACCTATACTGTTTAACAGTACATTAATCGAACGAGCACCATCAAACGGCCAAGAAACACTTATCCAATTGCCGTATAGTTCACAGTTTAAATTTTACTACTGTCGTTGTGAGATCAGAAGACCATGAATTTCGGATCGGGTATTTATTGAAAACAGCAATTCGACACTTTAAATAGCGAAAGAATCAAAAAACAACTAAACAATTCGCAGGAGAATGTACCATGCGGTAAGGTAGGCTATGGTATAGTGGCCGCAAGTTTCAGCAAATTCGATATAGATATTTGAACCATTAATCACTTTTGACAGTAAATTGTAAGTCGCTTTCAAATTTATAATAAAACATGGTTCAAAACTTTTTTAAACTTTTATCAATTAAACATTTTTTAAAGGGTTACTAACAGATTTCAAATTCAAGTCCTTTCATTAAGAAATGATAATTTACCCTGTTATCGCCACTTCCCAATTTCGACACAAGTCTTCAGCACCGCCATATGACGTCATTTCACAAAACTTTAAAGTGAAAAACGAATCTCCTAATGACCACAAAAATGTTTGAAATGAATAAAAGTGGGGGTGTATGGGTGGTATGCGAAATTTTCTCATGGACATATATACTTATAAAACAATTTACAAGGCAATCCGTAGCTATTTCGTGCGCAATGAAAATTATTTATATAAGTGGTGATAATAGGATAATCGTAGTTCCTATTATCGTCATAATGACATTTCAGCCAAATGGCGAGGTATCGCTATAGAAATTCATTTTGTGGGTCCCTGCTGTTGACATTTTTTCTTCGATCGGTAGCCGATGTTCCGGGACTATATATATAAAATGTTTCGTAAAGTATTGAAAACTTCAGATGGATCGCAATAAAAAAATGGCGATATATAATAGGATAACTCACTTGGCCCAAATCTTTACCGATCAAAAACTTAGAAAAAGAAATTTAAATTGGAAAATTCACCGTAATAATGCTTTTATTTTTTAAACAAAAGTAAGAAAAATAAGAACCATGCCACCTCCTCACCTTTTTCTACGAACGGGTATTATGACCCTGGGCTTTCTGGTACCATGGCGTTTTAATGCAAACTTGAGTTTCGTAAGGTCTTTTTCAATTTACCTTCAATATATAATCAATACGTATTTTCTCTACGATCAAAATTTTGTATCTCATGCAAGATATAATAATTGCGCTGTAACACCGTAATTCATTCTACAAAACCATTAAATATCTTTTATGGATACGTAGATGATGGTTTTTTTTTTTACAATATTTATAAGTCAATTCATTGGTTTAGTTTCTAAATTCTATCAGTAATGAAATCCTATTATGAAACAACTTCATAATCACACTTTTTATTTACAGTCATGAAACGAACGAATCAAATTAAATAGAGCATAATCATGTGGAAAAAGATACCATACGCTGGAATATTCAAGCTAGTAACATAATTTAGTCTTTAAAGCAAAATTGGATTCACTTCTCCTGCAATCGAAGACACCCTTCAAATAAATAAACCGCTGTTATAGTGATTGTGTTGGTAGATGGGAAGATTTAACGAGTCTATTTAAAAAAATAACTTAATTATACATCATTTAAAGCCATTTGAATGTTACAGGAATGTTTTCCAAACCTCCCCAGGTATACACAATCATGTTTTGGGAGAAATCAAAGTCAAAAGCCTTACAATGGAAGAACATGAAAAATATATAGTAAAAGGTAACCGGTACAAAAAATAAATATGAAAAATAAAAACATTACATAGCGTACAGCAGTCATAGAAAATATTTAGCATTTCAGAAAAATTAATTCACAAAGTAAATAGCAGCCATAGGAAATATTTTGCATTACAGAAAAATAGCTCACATAGTAAATAGCAATCATAAAAAATAGTTTGCATTACGAAAAAAATAGTTCATATAGTAAGCAGCAGTCATAAAAAAAACATTTGCATTGAAGTGAAAGAAAATTTAGTATACAATTCAGCAACCAATGAAAGGGTAGGCCTTGTTGACCTCGGGCCAAGTCGAGAAAAAGATTAAAATTCAGCAGCTACACATGCCTTACAATTTTACATTCAATCAATAGAAGGGAATTTTTGAGACTATTGCTATTTTACGCAACTCATGCAGTGAAAGAAAACACCCTTGTTAGCATGGTCTGGCAAGCAGTGGCAGCTTTGGACAGTAATGACTGAAAGTTTTAGAATCTTGTGAGCAATGAGCATGTTCCAAAGTTTTATCAATGTTCGAAACCACTTACATTTGCAGAAGCACTTTTTCCATCATGAAGAGTTTGAATTCTTATAGCAGGCATGTCCAACCTTTTTAGTGCCGCGGGCTACTTTCACATGAGGAAACTCATTGCGGCCGCAAACCCAAATACAGTATATATGTATACACCAGTTATGATTTACGTTATGATTTGCGCGTCGCTGAATCAAACGCTCCTTTTGCACAAAGCTATTGCGAATATCTGAAGACAATATGCACGCATTTTTAAGCAGTGACTGAATCTTAGAAGTTTCATTCGCCGCGAAAATAACATACACACGATAACAAAATACAAACAGAATAAAAAACGTATACCGGAGCCAGTAGCAAAGATACTGTACACTTTTTATTTTACGATGGGATGATCAAAGCCTACACAAAAGATAATATATATTCATAATGAATTGAATTTTGTTGCAAATTTATTCATATCATTTTCCTCGATCATTGATTGCACAATAGCTCTCGCGCGATCTTTCGAGAAATAATAAAAAAACATCGATGTCAACCAGAGCGCAAGATTTGGTACATTGTGTGATAAGAAGAACCGATATTTAGATAGATGGCCGGAATAAACGAATCAAAATCACGAAAGACACCTCGCCCTATATGAAATTCATAGCTCGTTGTAAAGAGAGGTTTAATACAACAAGCTGAAATATACAAATAGTCCATATCAGTGTTCACTACAGCCGAAGTAAATTGAAGGCGATGTCTCGAAAATTTCCATTTAGTCGTTTCCCTCGCGCGTTTGAATGACGGTGAATAATTAACCAAAACAGCCAACAATGTCAATTGTGGCTCAAATATGTGGGAGAAATCGTGTTAAGTTCATTTTATTCAATTTAGAAAAGTACTGCCGCGGCATGTGGCCCGCGGGCCATGGGTTGGACAAACTGTTTTATTGTGTATGTACATATAGAAAAACTTTTGTAGGCTGTAATAAGTTTTCTGGTGGTTTTTGCATGTTTGAGCTTGATAAATGACAAACACTGATCAATGTGTTTGCACAAAAAAGTGTTTGCTATGTATTTCTCTGTTTACCTATCCTCCATATCCAACAAACCGTGCTGTCGGACGACGTAAAAAGGCAGGGCACAATGAAATAATGAGTACCGGTAAAGCGTTGGAAGTTTCTGCTCGTTATATAATATGATCATTGTACCGGAATACATTATCGGTTTGCATTTGATACTGGGTTTTTTGAAGCATGCTACTGCTAGTGCTACTCAACATGATCCTAATCCGGAACGTTGAAATGTTCAGTTCCACTCGTGACTGTTATCGTTGTTTGTATTGGATTACAGGATTAGCTGCTTAGAAGGGTGATTTCGTGAGGCGTGGTTAAAAATATTGTATATTGTGCATAAGAAGGAACTCATTTGCACTGATTCACAACCGAAAGAAATTGAGGCGTCATAATTAGAGCGATTTAGCAGCGCGCACAATGGATGCCAAATTGCTTTTTTTGTTAACTTTTGGCTAAAATTTATGCGCACCATCTTGGATTACTCGGTTCATTTTACTTGTTCAGCCTGTAAGCATTTGCCTACATTTTTTATATTCATGATATGGCCCTGATAGCGTTGAAAACGTATTTTCAGATGATCTATTAGGTTTTGTGAAGACCATAAATTTATTTTTGTATTGAATTACATAGTAAAATCATTAATTGGTACGGTACCGGTAGTGAATAGCAAAATAATTTGAGTAGAAATAAAATTTAAGCGGTTGGCGAATTTCAAAAAATTAGTCTATGTTTCCTTCTTAAAATTGGGACTAAAATAATTAGCACAGATGATGTGGGCCTAATATCTCCTTCTAAAAGTATATGAATTGGATATATTCGTTGAATAAGTACTTCGAAGTTTTGTATAAGCATGGCTGTGAAATATAATTTTTGGAAGGATCTGTTCAAGAAGGCTAATTTTCAATTTTAGCTTACAGGTTTTGGTAAACACTTCTGAGTAGCCTATAAGCGTTTTGCTAGTATTGTACATTTTTCGCAACTGCCTTTTCAGACTTGTTTCCTGTGAGTTCATAAAACCCACACTGATATTACAGTAATAGGTCAAGACAATGAGAAAACTTGGTGAGCTATGGCTATGAGCTAAACCTATGGCTTAGATTTTAAGCAATTATTACCGGGATACGGTCTTAATTTCTGTCGTTTTGTATAAAGAATATTGGGGACCCCTAATCTTAGATAAGAAATTTCCATTCCATTTAATTTTTCGATGCTTTAGATATTGGAACCGTGGATGTCTCTGCTTGCAGGTTTGATAACCATCCTCGATTCCTCGCTGCTTTCTTTCAATTTGTTCTCCCGTAATATTATCTTTGACTTTTTCTCCTAGTTTTTATATTTCACTGATATATACTGAAACATTTCTCAACATGCCAATGAAGCCTATTCTTTGGCCATGAATTTTTTTCTGTGCAACATGTGGCGTTACGCACCCTCTATATTTTTCCAGTTACATTTTTTTGCATGCTTGAGACTTAGTTGCGTTTGCGAAATAATCCGGCATCTACAACGTTTTGGTATACAATGATTAAACAAAATCAAATCGATGATAAATTTCTGGCTTCCATTTTTTTTTACACAACAGTGGATAATATATCGCTATTTCATGTTTCCACAGCCTAATAAGCTCTAATATCAAGATGGAGCATTCCAACAAAAATAGTGATGATTGTGAAAAAATTGAAAAGATCTCAAAAGTTGAAGAATTGGAAGAATTGGGATTTCCGTCTGATTTTATTATCAAAGTCGAAGAATTTTCTTTTCCTGTACATCGAGTAATCATAGCAGCTGCATCTAACTATTTTCGTCTTATGCTGTCTAGTCAGATGAAGGAATCTAAAGATGGTTGTGTTGTAATGAAGGAAGTTGACCCACATGCAACCAAGAAATGTATTGCTTTTATGTACCATTCAGAAATGCCAATTGCTCTTACTGAAATAGAGGACGTTATTCACGCTTCCAAACTAATGAACCTGGATAAACTTGCTGAAAAATGTTTCTATCAATTAGACCAACATTTATCTCCAGATACTTGCATTGTGTCATTGAAGTTAGCCAAGTTGTATAATCGAAACCAGTGTGAGTTACAAAGTTATATTTTAAAGAACTTCAGAGCTATAGTTGCCTCTGATATGTTTCCATATACAGATCATGACGATCTAGTAGATTATATCGAATTTTTCAGTGCAGGTGAAGATACCGAAAGAATCAAATGGGAAGCAATTACAAAATGGGTAAAATTTCAATCGGATCGAAAAGACAATTTCCCCAGATTTTTTCAGCTCATGAACCTGGATCTGCTAAGTCCACAATTTCTTCAAGAAAGCGTACGAACCGAACCACTCGTGAACAGCTCCGTAGACTGTATGAATATTATGATGGAAAGTTTCCTTCCACATACAAAATTGCGACAAAACATCGTGAATAACACAGCAACAACTCCAAAAAATATTCATATAGCATGCTTGAACATACGTGAGGATTCAATTGATGCCTTCAATGTGCGGTCAAAGCGATGGTGTCGCATTTCTGGTTCTCCTATAACAGGACAATACAAGTTTGGCAGTATTGGTAGTTGTCTATATATTCTGGGTTATGATGGTGATTTCTTCATATTTGACAATAAAACAGAAACATGGATTCGAAAACCAAGCGGAAGTCTTCATTGCGAACACTTTTTTGTAATTGAGTTTCAAGGCAAACTGTTTGTGCTAGTAAAGCATCACACTTTATGCTATGATCCCATTCAAGAAATGTGGGAAGCTAAACGTCTGCCTGGTTGTCGGCTACGGTTCTTCTGTGCCGCCTCTTCTGAAGATTTTATTTATTCAGTCGGAGGTGCAATTGGAACTTTTCGCCAGTGGGATCAAGCAAGAAGATATGACCCGCTACGTAAGAGATGGGCAAAAATTGCTTCCATGAATAAAGAACGAGATGGATCAGCAGCGGCGTATGCCTGTGAAAAGTTGTACGTACTGGGCGGAGAATGGGACAAGAAATACCTGAGTACAGTAGAATGCTACAACCCGGTCACTAACACTTGGACTAATATTATAAGTATGTGTTTAACAAGACATGCTCCTACAGCCTGCGTCTACGATGATAAGATATATGTCGTCGGAGGAGCTAGGGATGAGGATGGCAATCCTGAACAAGATAATTCTATAGAATTATATGACGTAATTTCAGGCAAATGGGCTATTATCTCAAAAGGCAGAATATACCCCGGACTCGTGCAATCATGCATTTATACGAAGGATAGGCTCTCACCTGGGAATTCGGTAGAATCAGGGGAATGTAAGACACAATAAATGAGTGACAATATTACAGCGTTAATGAGTAGTAATGTAGTGAACACATGAAAATATTATTTCTCATAAATCTAATTCAGTTATTGCAAATATAAATACAGAATATGTTCAATTTTTAATTTTTCAGCGGAATTACTCAAATTTAGTTAGATGATAATGTAATGTTATCAAAAGTCGAAATATACACTTATAATCCACAATAAAGGAATATCAGTTATATATAAGATTTTTAGAAATCTTATCTTTAGAAGAAAGTTGTAACATGTAACTATAGTGTCATAATAGAAAAACGGTTTCAATTATTTACCCATGTTTCATGAAACATTTTACCTGTGGATGTGTATAATACCAAATCTTGTGGAGAGAATATAGAATGTTCATTCTGAATGTTAATCAACTTCTTTGTATTATTAGCATACTGAATTTAATGAAAACAGGTCAATTTAACCTGTTTTTCGATGATTTATAAGAAACATGCCTATATGTTGTGCAGGCTATGTGATAAAATAATTGAGGACGTATTTTTGGGCTTTGTTTGGGCCTCGAGTGTTGAGAATAATAGTGTTTTTCATTTATCTTGCATTACTTATTTGGATTTCAACTGCATAACTTGTATTATGATTGAAGTGAAGTGTATATTTGGAAAAACATAGGATCTCAAAGTGTGTACTGATCCCCAGGGGTCTGTAGGAGAAACCTAGAGGCTCAGCGAGCTATTCGTCTATTTTTCAAAATACTGCCTTGGCTAATTTTGTATCTGTCAAAAGAAGCAATAACAGAATTAATAAAATTTGACAACAGTAGCGTCGAAATATGGCAAAATTCAAAATTGAAATCGGAAATTTGAGTTGCACTTCCAGTACTTGATATTATTTTTAAGCAAGATATTGCCATCACAAAAATCCCAAGGTTGGTGTTAAAATCTCAATGAGTACAGTTTACAATGCACCCAATTCTGGCGACTTTGGTTGGACCATATTGGCAATATATTTTTAATAGAACATTTTCCTTACTGTTCACTGCCGTTTAGAAAATCCATCAATTTGGCAGTGGCAGTTGGCAATTAATATGGTGTTGCAATTAATTTTTATTTATTTATTTTCTGTTTTTATTTTTGTTTACTATGTAATATATCGTAAGTTTGTCGCCTTTTCTTACTTTATAATTTCTCTGCGGCTATGTGTGTGAGATTATTAAGTATTTTATGTGAGTGAACATGTACCACTTCTTCTTGGTTAAACGTCCCATCTTATATAATGTACGTTTCAAACCTCGTCTGGGGTTTAAGACTTAGTTTGACTTTACCAGGTATTGCGAACTGAGCAGAAAACGAAGAATGTATGATGACCACTATTTGAGCTTTATACTCACGACAGTGAATAGCAAAGTTATACTCCGATGCGTTTAAGCCTAAACAATCTGAGCAATGACGCTATGAGACCAACACTTTTACAGCGCCATCTTAATAAAATGCAATCTGTCCATCACAAAAGCATTTTTTCATAAAAAAAAGGGGGAGCGAAGTTTGTAAAAAATTTTCAACGGGTGGCGGCTCAAAAAGTTTATAAACCACTGTTCTAAATCACCCTGTTGCTTTTCACACATCTCCAGCCTGCTAATAGCCTTCTGGATCTTAGGAAAGATTAGAGCCACGTCATCTTGGAACTTGATGATATCCTCAGACTTGTTAGAAGCAGACAGTTGAGTTGAACGTTCCAATAGCTCAGTGGTTCTTGAAGTAATTTATATATAAATTATATAAATATGTAATTAATATATAATTATATAAATATATAATTTATCCGTGAAATTTAGATTTATTCATGACTTGTATTAACTCTATTAAATAAAGTTTAGTATTTAAATTAAGTGAAGTCATTTTCACTTACTCAGAAACATTAATCGGTAAGTAACGATGTGCTTTTCGTTTGTTTTAAATTTAAAATTTAAATTGGGGGTCCGTGAATAATTGTCAACCTCCTTACGGGCTCCGTAACACCAAAAGTTTGCGAACCCCTGTTTAATATATTTAAATCAATTGATTGTGCAACTTTGCAATACGAACATTTGGACTTACAATCTATTGTGGGCTCTATTGACATCTGAAAGCGTCAGATGGGAATTACTCCGCTAAAGTTCGTTAAATAGTACTGGTATGGGGAAACTAATATAGAGCCATCTTTTCCCTATACTGTCGTGTAAAAAATTGTCATTATCCTCTACGGGAAACTACGGGAAAACAATGAACTGGAATAGAAGAGACTCCGTTGTTTCCAATTTTAGCGGATTGAAGAGTGGAAACGTGAATCTTTAAGCGAGGGTTTTTGAATAACATTCGATAGAATGTGGGAGCGACTCCAGAACTTAGGACAGGTAATCGATTGACGCGGATATCATATTATGGGTCTAAATATGAATCGGGAAATTAGCGACATTTGCAAACATTCTCAGTAAGAAGCTGAAGTTTCCAATACAGAATTTACTTTAAAACCATAAATCGCGAATGTCAGCTTTTGAGATACATTCACATTGACGGTGAGAATTTGATATTCCGTATTAAGACATGATTACTGAATATTTTCAAATATATATAAGGGTACTTGTCTCAGCCTCAAGGCCGATCGTTACAACGACATCGGCCGATGCGCTCGACGATTTTGAATAACCTTTATCGTGCTGTTATAGTTTTACAGGGTTAATACTTTTGTCTTTGCCCCTTAAGAACTGACTTCAATGAAGGTAATTTTTTTTGAACCACGTTCTATTGATATTCTGTTATAAATTAAATAATGTATTGTAACAGTTTATTGAAAATTGTTTGAGACGTAGCTAAAATAACTTATTCATGTATTATCACTGCTGCGCCTACCAAAATTCGTTAGGGTTTTACATAGCCACAATACGTGAGGAAGACAAGATTAACACTATCATCTGACTCCATCTGCGACTGTTCATGTAGTAAATTTTGTGAGGCCACTCATGACTGAAGGATTCGAGAATGTGACTCGTGCACGTTGAATGACGCTATTTTAGTAATTAGATATAACAAAAGAGAACGTATGTTGTATTGTTTATGAAACATATTACACAAGTCACCCTTCCGTGCCATTTTCCGGTTACCAGTGAATTCTTTAATATTATATTATACCATTTTATAAATAGTGATCGGTGTCAAGCAAACAACCAATCTAAAATTTTAGCAGGTTATGTAATTGCACCATGCCTTGAAAATGATTACGATTGATCACGTTTACGAGGTAATACAAAATTTTTGAGAAGCACCAGTATCTAATCCAGTAGTTTTTAACCGCGGTTCCGTCAATATAGTCCAGGGGTTCCGCACGTTCCCATTCAAATCCGAGAGTATTCTATATCAGGGGTCACCAAACTACGGCCCGCGGGCCGGATCCGGCCCGCGACGTCATTTTATCCGGCCCGCGGCGTCATTTTATCCGGTCCGCAATAACATGCAAAAATGGCTAAATTTTTTTCCAAGGAAGATTTTCACGAGCATCGTCGTCCTTGTTTATTTCGTAACATTGGCCAATCGGCAAGATGCAGAAAAGTGACGTAATAATAGGCCTTTCCGCATCCAATCAGACACTTTTGTCACCCTGACAGATTTTCAGTCGTGGTTGTAAACAAAACTTCGTTTTTGCGACTTTGAATGCTACCAGTACGTAACGTTTTCTGCGATACACTTGTACACTCGTGGCGCTTGCTTTCGACGAAACTGTTTGTTTTTCGTGCTAAAATAAACGTCGAATGTGCATTTTGTGCTAACAGTACTGTAATCCCTCGCGTACTGCTCCAATTTCAAAAGCCACACTAACTTTTGTACTGCTTTAATGCGGATATTCATGTAGGTATGTTACAAAAAAATTGAAGTTCATCCGATTTAAATAAAAACTGCTCCAGTGGAAAGATCTGAGTAAAAATAGAAAACAATACCAAGTTTGGAATAAACGGTCAAGAAATAACGGAGATATCAGAATTTTAGTACCGCCCGACAGCCAATTTTTTCCATAATGATTGTATTACTTTTTTGATAAGAACTGTACTAAATATGGAAAAATAACATATATCAATCACTAATCTTTCGATGTGCGTCACATCTATGGTATATTGAGATAATTTCAGGATTTTATTCTGGCAACGGTCATTGACACCGCCGAAAGATCGTCGCAAATAAACGCTGGAGTTGTGCATGATAGTTTGACAGTGGTTCATTGTGGGTAATATTTAACGATGTTCTGATTGTACGAACTTCAGAAAAATTGGTAAGCATCAAGTTAGACAAGAAATACACACGTCCATATAAATTTTATTGGTGTCCATAGACAATATCAATAATTTGCACTACGTATAACTGGAGCGTATTTTTTAAAAGCGTCGAATGTTGGGAAATTTATGCGCTAATGAAAAAATTCAAATACCAGATAATAGTTGTTTATTTTATCTAAATTATGTCAAAATTTCATAAAATTCCAAGCTACAGCAGGCAGTCGTTTTTATGAGCGGTATTTCAACACGGCTTAACGGTACTTAGCAGACGTGAAGCGTACATTTTTGCCGCGGATTTTGTAACATTTCTAATTCATGACAGCAACGTTTTGATAACAGCTAAACTCAGGATAGTTGTCTAGATATAGAAATCTTGTTAATTTTTTTTCCTAGGATGTTCTCGATCTATATTCTGCGATATTCCCAACATTTGTGAATTTATTGTATTGCATTGACAAAAATATTCATCCGGCCCGTTTCAACACAATTTGAGTCATACCCGGCCCGCGGTCAAAAAAGTTTGGTGACCCCTGTTCTATATTGATATATGTATATAGTTGATGTAAAATTAAATGCCTGTCGATTTGCCACTTTTAATAAACTTTTTACACCTTAAAGATCATTTTATTTGGCATTTAGCTTTGTTTTTGAATGTGTTTGTAGTTCATTACAATTCAGACAATTATTGAACAATTGCACAAGTGTTACTCGAGCCTCTGAAAGCTTACATTGGGTGTTCATCTCCATCAAAATGATTGGAACTACTGGTCTAATAGATTGAATTATTACAAGATATAATTGGGTCAGCCACCGACTTTAAAACAAGAATGCAAGATCCAAAAAACAATCTTCGCCTGAATACCTAGCTGATATAATCAGAAAGCAATTTTCTATTATTCAGTAATGCATGAGGAATTTTTAACAATTTTGCAATCTTGGTTGGAGTTGCTGCCATACTTAGTGTATATAAAGGGTATGGATCAATTATAAAACCTGATCAGATTTTTTATCTTATTGAAAATGCGTTTTTATCTGGTAGATAAACCATGAATATGAACGAAAAAAAGTATGGTGTGGCTCAAGTATAGCAGAAATGGCATAAAATAGTCTACTGGAGTGAAAATTAAAAATCAAAGAAATACAAGGCTAAATATTTAATATATGGTTTTAATATTCAATCTTGCCTCATTTGAAGTTTCAACAATTGCCGCCCAAATCACAATTATAAAAGCAAATAGAGACGTTGCAATACATATACAACACGGTATACCTTGGTAACTTCTCAAGCGCAAGTCATAAATGAGAAGAAATTGAGATTAATCCAAATCTAAACTGTTGCATCGCCTAAAATATATATCTTTCCATGTTATTTGCAAGAACAACATCAAATTATGCCTGTAAAAAAATATTTTTGTTCTGCATTTACTGATTTGAAAAGTTGACATTTTTCACGTGATTCTATTCACAAAGGTGCGTGCTTTCACTCATCCGGTAAAATTAGATTTCTTTTCATAACGCTAGATGACGAGAACAATGTCTTGAAACATATTGAATGAAAGATTCTTCTGTGTCAACATCCGGTTATTAGAACGGTCCTAATTACCATAATGTACTGTATTTAGTATGTGAGGCTTATTGTTATATGATCGGTGCTATAATCAAGGGGAAATGAGCAATATAACATAATAACCGGACCAAACCCATACGCTTTCTTCGGTAAATGCCGATGGTAATATGATGTGGCTGCAACAGTCGAGATCGAATGTCTTCTTTGAGCACAGGGGCCGAAAGTGTACAAGCATACAAAATATAAATACCGGTGCAAGTCTTTGCACTTTGCAATCCACTTTGAAAACAATTATGTTTTCTATTCTTTTTGAATTTGGTCTCGCGAGCTGGAAAACAAAGATATGCAAACAATATGATGACTGTATGAGAAACTTGATGACTTTCAGAAAAGTGTTGAAATAATTGTTGTTTTATTAGATCAATTTACGATAAAAATTAGAGAAATTATGTTTGCCAAAATTCTACTTATGCTGTCAGTCGTATCTTCAATTCGATGTAATCAAGAGGAAAGAATGGACAACATGATTCACCACTTGAGCAAATTTGTGGTAAGAAAGTTAAATAATAGATTTTGATATCGATTAAAATAGTGTTGGACTACTGAGTCAAATCATTTTTATGCCGTACAATAGCCGAACTTCAATGCATGCCACAACCTCGTTGTTAGTACTAGTTGCCGTGTATAAAACACAGATGAAAAAATAAAATGAAATTGAAACGAAATTCATTTCAATTCTTGTGTTTAGTCTGAATGAATTTTTATTGTTCACTAACTTGCTTAACATAACCAATTATTATTTCAATACACATAAAACTGGCATCTGATGTTTTACTATGTTACATTTGAATTTTGGATGTTTGTAAATATAACATTTTTGTAAAATTGTTTTACATAGAAACAGAATATATGTTCTAGAACAGGGGTGAGCAAGGTTTTCGGGCGGGGGAGCCAAAAATTTGCCCAGCTACATGTTCGGGCCATATAAGTATGAAGTAACAGTTACATTTTATCGATAATATTTACATTGTTACAATAGCAAAAGCGGAAAACGATAAGCCCCATGCCAAAACTCAATTTGATCGCAATCTCAGCAAATTCCTCGAGCTATTTTTTGCTAAAACAGCAAAATTTGGTTTTAGTTTGGTTGTGACACCATCAGGTGGGCCAGATTGAATTACCCAACGGGCCGGATTTGATCTATGGGCCTTAGTTTGCCCATGTCTGGTTTAGAATTTTACCGAAGATATGTTTTGGCACAGACAACCAATATTTGTAATGACAATTCTATATATTTGATTTTAGGACGAAAATGCTGACCCGGAGTTTGATGTTGTAGATAACGAAGATGCCATGGCGGAAATTCGTAAAATAATTGAAGATCATGGATTTAACTCTGACGATCTTTTATCTGATATAAGTTTCTTGTATGGAATTCCCGGTATTTTCAAATCAGGAGATGCAAAGAGATGGGCGAGCGTGAATTTTTCCTATCAATTGGCTTGTTATAGCGTATGTATCTGAAATTTAAAAAAAAATATTAAACTTGACTCGCTTGCTTAAAAATCGTGTGCATTGCTATAACTTAAAATAAGTAATTGATCGCAATAGCTAATAATATGGTTTTGATTTGAAAAAAAAGTTGTTTTCGTTCGTATTTTATATTTCGTTCTATTTAATGAGATTTTCAATGGTTTATTTATTTCTGATTTTTTTATACTCGTATACGCAATTTCGCATTTTTATTTGATTTAGGGAAAAACTGGTTCACTCTTATCACAAGCATGGTGGGCGTACACGAGATTCAATGAATACGGATGTTATTGCGGTGGAGGAAATTATTATGGAAATTATTTGGATGCCACCGACCAGTAAGTAAACAAAAATTAGTACATTCACCTTTTTTGCATTGCAGTAATCGCTTATTACGTAATAGGCTTTTTAAATGATACTCCCGTAGTGTGTGTACCAGGTTAGGGTTAGGCCATAATTTTATTCCGACTTTTCCTATTTTAGTTCTATTACGAGTTCGGGGACTGTCTGTGTTATTCAAGTGAATATACCCGCTGCCCATAGGTTTCAGTCCCTTTACACAAGTTGATGTAAAGTAGGCAAACAAAATTAGTTACCTTCATATTGGTACACATACTTCTGGAGCGTCTTTTAAAGTGCAATCCTATATCATATACCAGGATATTTAACAGTTAAAAAACAGGAAATACGATGTGTCTGATTGATACAAAATACGGCAGTGCTATAATGCCACGTTTCTTGTTTGTTTTAGTTGCTGTAAAGTGCATGACCGCTGCTACGATCGCGTTCAATCGAAATTCAAACTGGCACTCGGTTGTCATACCTATACAACACCTTACACCGTCTCTTGCTGCAAAGATCAAAAATACACCAAATGCACAGATTCAGGCCCAAGTAAAATTTTTTGCACATTATTTATTAATGTGTCGCTGATTGTTTCATACAGATGAATGGACGTATTTTTGAAAGAAGCCAAAATTCGAAACTAGCACGCTTGGCCACACACGCGTTGAAAGCTTTTTAGAAAAATATGGTTATTCATAAATTTGGCTCGAATTTTGCCTTGAGTTTGAATTGAACGAAGAGACCTATTTAATAGTAATATCATGTCAAAGTTGATCAGCGCTCCATAATTGATGTGCCTTCAGTGGGACTATACGATGTATCTCAAACGAGAATGAAGTGAGAGAAGAAATGCTTTTACAGCGCTATGGCGTTAATTGTTTCAAATGATTTCGTTTTCCTTACCGAACCGACAATGTAATTAAACTGTTTTCATAACAGGTGGCGGAAGGGGGCTTTGTGAATGTGATCAGGCTATGGCAAAATGTGTGGCAGCAACAAAAGGCAGTTACAATCCGTCATTATTAAAGAACAGAAGTAACTGCAGAGACCCTAATGGGAAGAAATCAAAACCCTTGAGCCCATGGGAGATTTTAAAAACATGCAAACATGCATTCTCTCCTGTTGTTACCGTCCCGCTTACATACGGGTGAGTGGACTAAAATATCACCAACCTTTATAAATTTCTACGCGTTGTGGAACCATTCCCTTAGATGTCACATTTGCAATCAATTCCATGCAATCCGATACCACAGCTCATAAAGTATACTGAACACAAAATCTAATATATATATATATTTGCTGTAATGTTTTCTTTACAAAAACTAATTCAAACAAACAGCATTTATCAGAAATTGATTTACTTTTGTATCTACACTGCTAAATTAAACTAACCACAGTGATTCATCGAAGAACCCAGCAGAGCACAACTTAACTGCTGTGTTTAATATATATATACAAAGCCAGTTTTCACCAATGTCACTAGGGTACAACTTTCGGTGGTGAGAAATTTGGTGTATTCATTGTTCGTTTTTGATGGTACAGACTCATGTTTAACCGGTGTCTGTTTGAACATTACTTGTGTACCTCAATATTCTCCATACTAAATTAATACTCCTGGCTGATGGCACATATCACATTTTTCTTTGTCCAAGTGCATGAGCTATTCCGCCACACCAGATTTTATTTTGAGGTTTATAGGTTATATCTAGAAAAAAGTCAGTATTGTGTGACGTATGAACAAAATGCTTGTTCTCACACATTGAGAATTTGTACTTCTGTTAATTTTTCCTACACATCAATACAATGTTCATGTAACTTTTTGAGCGTCCAGCAGGGATTTGCCTACACCCTATAAATAGTTTTATAGGCCATAGAAAAATATCTACTACCCTCCAAATTTGCCTATCTTCCACTTATAAGTCACTGTAACACTAAAATTAATCAATATTAATATTTTCAGTTCGCAAGGCACTTGTCCCAAGAGTGGAGGAAGTAGTGGGTGGTTTTGGGGGTGATGAGACACAGAAACACTCCAGTATATGAATAATCTCAAGAAACACAAGAAAATTGTATATTTATCTCAAATGTATCCACCTATATATATATATATATATACTAGAGATGCCATCGTTGCTCAGATTATCATATTGATTGAATTTAAGGATGCAGCTTTTGATGGATACTTTAACATCAGTCATTGTGTCGTCACCGATTACAATTATTTATCCAGAAGAAAACGTCGACAGTTGTTCAATAGTTTGAACGTAAATTTGATACTGTTAATTCTCAAATTGTGTTTTGGATTCTTCGATCACGTGATGTGCAATTTAAAAAATATAAATACTAAATTCGTACCAGCTTTTAGTTGAAAGGCTCGCGCAAAAGATTGAAATTATAGTAACTATACTGAAAGCGGAGTGGTGTTCGTCCTAAATTTCTGCCCTATATATTTGAAACTTATTCATGTATCTTTATGTGAAAAATTTCAGAAATAAAATATGATTTCTACATAGCCTTAAGTGGTGAATATTAATCAAGAAAGTCGTAATTGTAATACGCAATTTTGAGTTGTTAAATATCAACTGAATAAAATAAATACATGTAATACGAATAGTTTATCTAATTTGAACTTATCCTTTTTTTTTTCTTTTCATTTGCTATGGCTAGCGCAGTGACCAAAAATTAAAAAGAACAAAGTTATAAAATATATATAGATCATATATTAGCGATTAACGTAAATATACATATTTTCGAAGCTTCGAAGTTCACATGAGTAGTGTAAGACAAAAATTTCAGATTTGAAGACGTTTCATCGCGTTAATATCCGTGTATATGGGGAAAATAAGTCGATTTCTATTGCTACTAATTACTGAAATCATCTCTTTTGCATTCTCTCTCTTTTTTATTCAACTTCACTAGTACCTAAAGAAACCCATTGAACTCTAACTTACATTCGTTTTTTGTAATTTACATTCCTATTTACGCATTTGGTAGTTTATTTAATAACCACGCTTCTCTTGGGAATTTCCCAATTATTTGATGCAAGGATTTGCGCACGAGTTACTCGCAGTCGAAGAATAATAGAAAATTCGAAGAATTGCTCAATATATCACAGACGGAAATGATAACAACAAGCATTCAAATTTCATAAATAAACAACATTGCTACGTTCAATGTATATTTACCGAAAACCAATCCAGACGACATTTTAATACATTCACGTAATATCACTTTATACTTCTATAGTTAGTTATGTGAATGCGGTCTGAATGACATGTGTAATGTGTTAAAAATCTCTCCTCATCTCCAAAGCCAACTACCTCTACTCCCACCGTTTGGACAACTACCTTGGGACCTAAAAATAAAAAGTTAATATCAATCAAGATCAAAGCTGATTTTATGGTAATATGAGAGAAGCTAACCAGTGTTGCCAGTGTGGCAATTCGATTTTGTAAAGGAGACGAAAAATGCATATGGATGCAAAACCTACCCGTATGTGAGTGGAAATTTAACATTCGGGTGAAAAGCATGTTTGCAGGATTTCAGTGTTTCCCAGGCAGTCATTGGTTTCCTGTTAACTCCACTGACGTTTTTGCACTTGCTCCTGTTTTTCATCAGATCTGCATTATAAGTCTTAGCATTCTTAGACGTGCATCTAGCCATCTTTTGATCGCATCCACATAATTCCCTTCCAGCACCTATATATATATATATATATATACAAATATAACACTGTAATTTCAGAGTGTGAAATTAGGTACATGGTACCCCCGAAGTATGTGAACCAAGATGGCGGACACTGGAACGTAGTATGTTTACCAGGTTAGGGTTAGGCCCTACTTTCAGATACATATACTACGGGAGTCTCTTGGCTAGTCCCAGAACTTGTTATAGAACTAAAATAAGGAATATTAGAATAAAATTATGGCCTAACCCTAACCTGGTACACATACTACGTTCTGCCATCTTGGTTTACATACTTCGAGAGCGCCCATTTGCTTAAGCTACTGAAATCTTTATTTCAACCAAGCATGTCCGTATTTCATGTACCATAAATAAATACCATCAGAATATTAAATCAGTTCGGACCATCTGTATCAGAAGATGATAACATTTAAAAACCTGTAAATAATCATAATATAATTCATGAAATATCTTACTTGGACCAGAGTCCGTACATTTTGTATATTTCTCCTTCTTACAACAGGAGACACTATAAGGGACAGTGTACGTATCGCAACCATATTTAAGATTGTATTTCTTCATCACGCGTTCGTAGCAGGAATCATGTCCTTTGCAACATCTGGTAAAGTAATAACAAAATATAATCAGGCGATGAAAACAGCAGTGACTTTAGGCCTACGTTGAAAACTTAATGCTTCATTGAAAGTTATTGTTCTGGTGTAGGCCTACGCCCAAATACTCACAGGTCGGTGGCATCCAAATAGTTTCCGAAATAGTAGCCTGCACCACAGTAACATGCATATCCATTGAATCTTCTGTAAGCCCACAATGCTTGTAGTAGGAGTGGTCCCGTTTTTCCCTATTAAAAATAAGATAGCGTACAATGAAAAATGATATAGTGAGTGTGAGGTTGGCCAAATGAGTCTTAAAAGTCTCTGTTTTCAAGCCAAATGAACACCTATGTGCAGAAGTATTACGTAACGACAATGGAGCGATGCTCAAATATATGGACGTGAAGGCTAAGACGAAGTTGTGCGGGTATGCAGTCTGTCACAGTAGACTACCGTTACCGCAGTCTTCACGTCTTCGCCCGAATACTATAACGCGAACGCGGAACCGCCATAAAGTACGCAATTTTGATGACGTCATCGCACACGAAAATAGGAAACCTATAGAGCCCACAAAAAATTTTAAAATAAATAAAAGTAACAAGAAACAGCTTTCTAGCAAAATTTACAATCTTTAACCACTGAATATTCCAACGCAATTGGTCCCGGTAGTTATGAGAAAAGAAATTTTTTCACATCAAGAAGACAATAATGACTAACAACAATAATGCTCGATTTAATACGAAAGATTATACAAAAGTATATAACTCGATCTTATATATAGTGCGCATTATTGATATACATATAAAAATAAATTCGAAAAATCCATAGACTATTTTCAAGACATAAGCTAAACATTTGAATAACGTATGCAAATCAAGTTACTGTAATAACATACTCCATAACAGGCAAGCTGATACGCGAAATTCACAGTCGTCCATCTCCTCGCGTCTCCTGATTTAAATATTCCAGGAAGCGATTTCAAGAAACTGATGTCCCATAAGACATCATCCGTATTGAATCCGTGATCTTCACTTATTCTGCGAATTTCTGAGACGACGTCATCGTGCAAAACGTCAAAATCTGGATCTTTATTTTCTTCCTGAAACACGGTAACAATATATGTATTTGAATATATCAGTATATATGATTATATTGTAGCTTTCAATGCAATGAACGAAATTCGTTTTCATCAACGTGGGTACGCACAGGGCCGACTTTAAATATTGAGCGGCCCTTCGCAAAACGGATCGCGACGCGCCTTATCTGATTTGAGACAATAGCTGAAAATCAAGGAAAGTTTAACTTAATTTCTCCTTTAATCAAAGCATATTAATAAGTTTTATTTTATTTTTTATTATGTTATTACGCGACCTTAATTCAGTTCAATATTGCTTTCTGAAATTTAATTTAAAAATAGACATAAAAAAAACTTGAAGCGGACCTAGTCTCTCGTTGGTGATTCACGAATATGAAACAGGCAATTTCTGAGGTAAATATTCCTTAGAAATTAGCTTCTGGTATAAGAGTGGAAACAACTGCGAACTGCTAACCATACGAATAGACGCTAATGCAAAAAAGACATTCACCATGAAACACGATTCGGTAAATTGTAAATTAAATAGACTTCGAAAATAAACTCCAATATGAAACATAATGGCTTGAAAGTAGTTTGCACTTACCATAATGAAACTCAAATCTCTCAGAAACTCTTCTACTTCATGTTCTTGATTAGCGTACACGAAGGGAACCAAAGAAGATAGAATCAGGATCGTTTTACTAAACATTTTAGTTTATTATACTCTTTAAAATATTTGATCGTGATAAATAGTTTTAAACTAGTGAACTATATATATATATAATATACTTTACTCTCATATACGGTAGTAAAGAGATTTGTGTTCTAACTCAACTCCAAATTACTTTTACGGCTAACCGAAACCATCTACATACTGGTTTAGACTTTTATGCATGATATACGATCCTACGCAAAAAATGATAATGTTGTAACGAAAGCCATCAAGAATTACATTCATTTTAATTCCTCGTATTCGTCGGATTCTAAATAATATATAAATTAGTAACGTGATTCCATATGTCATAATACAATGGACATATGCTGAATCCTATTTTGCCTTCAAATATCATGTTACGCAAACAGTAATTCCAAGATAGTGCGCCATTTCCGCTCAGGTGAGAATATTGTACTCCGTTTCATCGTCTTAATTGAAAGCAGTAAATCCCATTATGCTGTTGAGTGAGATGCAAATTTTCACGTGAGTATGTGAAATGTATATACGGTAAAGTAGCTGAAAAAAATTACCTAATGTGCCAAGGCACGTGCAAAATTAGAGCCATTGGGAAACATTGCAATCTTACCAATTCACTAAATCTTGACAAACACACGACTTTCGGTAATCAGATATGAGGAGTCGGCAAACGGCGAAGGAATTGCTTGATTGAACTATTTTTTCTGTCCCCTAATTCAGGAATTTCATATTATCCCTTAATCATATTGCAAGCCACGCCTCTTGGCCGGTTACAATTTAATATCGGGTATGGGAATAGTTTATTTATTTCAAATGCAACAAGCGGTTAGGTGGACCCCCCCCCCCCCCCCCGCGACATCTGGGAGCCCAGCAATCCCCACACACATAATTATCCATCCACGGAATTTGTATAAATGTCGTTTGACCATAAGAAGTAAAACATGTCCCAGCAATTCTTTCTTACTCCATAAATATAATCTTAGTATTCTAGCCTAATGTCAAATGGTAACCATGAGTCCATTTATAAAAGAAAACTCATTTCCACGCAACGCAAGTTGAATATTTATTGATCTGAAGAATCAAGTATTTTCAAGAATATGAAAACAAAGAAAAACAAAGTATAGAACAAACAATTTACAAACTAATAGCATCACTCATTAGGGATGAACACAAGGTCTATACCAAACATTACAATGTAAAAATTAGCGCCATTAAGAATATAAACCCCAAATCAATTATTACTGTCTAAATATGCCAATCAAATGCCATTGTAAGGATGTTTATCTTTGTGATATTTGGGAATAACAACATATACAAGTGTTTTAACAAAAAATGGATACAAAGAAACTATGTTTAAATGTACAAAATTCCTTCGGAAATGCTTATTGTTCTTACAAAATATAGCTTATGCAAAAGTAAGCACAAGTTAAGAAACGCCCCAAGATAAGCTTGATAAAATTCATATATCAAACGCAGCGACTAAATTCTATTCTAAGTACAGACAATTTTTCTCCATACATCGAATATATTTTCGCCCATAAGTACTAGTAGTGAAGAGAAATATAAAAAATTATATAAGGGTCTGGTGATGACAATAAGATACTGATTGAAAAACTTGGGGAATTCTAACTCTTGTTGGTGTTTAAATATCAAAATTCATTGTTCAAATTGAAATTTTAGAGTTATTGTCGAATTGATGATGAATAAAAATTAGTTGTCAAACGCTAAATTTTTCTTTTTCAAAATTTTGCCAAACTATAAATGAATGTTGTAGTCTAAGCATTGGAAAAATCATAACACCAAAATATATATCAAGAAATCACTGCGTTAAAATCTCATTTTTAACCCAATCTGATATGATTGCCTGCATTGTTTTTTTATGAAAAAACTGCATTTGGAGGTGAAAATGATATACCGAAGTTGAACCAAAACTGTATATTAATAATTATGTACATCATGTTTAGATGCACTAACCCAACGACAGATATGCCAAAATATCAAAAAGGCTTTCTATTTCTGGCCGTTAGTCATTTGAATAATGAGTCCTATGGACTTCCCTTTAACCAGAATAAATATGAAAATCCAATCCTATCCTTTTCGACTCTCATAACATTGCAAACGCTTCATTCAAATATACAGTGAGCTTAATATACAGAACTTCAGTTCATTTAGGAGTTACTTTCCCAGTTTATAACAAAGTTAGAAATAGAAATATAGATTACAATTTGAAATTAAATATCATTATCAATTATACAGGATGTTTTTAAAGTTCCATTACAGTTTCAATTTCGTCATAAAGTCAGTTCTCAATATATCTTAACCAGCTTAGTATTATTTTATTAGGTTCGATTAATTTTTTTTTTACTTTATTTAACACACTTGTAGGGGCCTACAAACTGTATATATATGGTGTACATAAATTTTTTTTTAAATTTGAAAAATCAGAAGTATTATGAACACCCTGTACTTTTCAAAGCTTTAAGTTTAAAGCAGGGGTGAGCAACCTGCAGCCCACTAGGAAAAATTGTGCGGCCCACAAAACGAATTTTTAATATGGTAAGTGTGAGTAATTGAGTTGTGTGTCATAGCAAGTGTAGCAAATACTAAATAATGTATGAATAATTTTAAAAGCTGCAGATATCGCATTAGATAACAACAAAGCTTTGAATGGGCTACTTTGAAAAGTTCGGTTCAAATGATATTCATATTTCATAGAATTTCGACTGCAACTAAATCTATGAAAAACACTATTTTTACTGTGGTAACCTTTTTTTCAACGTTCGTTACTCTCATAAACAGATTTGAAAGAAGGTATAGAAAATGGCAAAAATCTTTTGGCAAATAAAAAAGCTCTGCAACATCTGATCTTGAATATACTCTAGATATCTATAGAAAATCTTGGTTATGAATTGAGATAAAATATGTACATCTTGATGCTATCTACATAAAAATATGCAAACATGAAAAAATTTTGAGATTTAACCATAAACAAATATACATCTTTGTGAAGTGAAGAATTTTGAAGGTGATATAAAAAAGAATTCAATTGAGTCAATGTAATAAATGCTTACATTGGTTATTATGAAATCAAATTGTGAATTACTAAATTATTGTGCTGTTGAAAAATTGCTTTTCTCCGCAACTAAATCTTGATAAACACACTACTTTTGGTAAGCAGATATGAGGAATCGGCAAACAGTGCCCTGCACTATCAAATTTTCAGTACTCAATTTAAGCCATTAGAAGGCTATTGATTCTCAATTTAATTTCCTCTTGGGCTATGTGACCATTATTTTACCCAAAATTTATATTTGAATTTGAGAAAAACTTCTATAGAACTTTTGTGTACATATATTTGTGAGTTACTTCCATTGCTTGTTTTTATTAAATGTGACAGCTGTGAACATTTGTCACCTTATGTGAACAAGAAAAAAAATAAATCGACACTGTCTAAAACAGAATACAATATTTAGATACACAGGGTGGTCGATAGAAAAAGAGAAAATTGTCAAACAGCTGTTTATTTTTACGAAAATAAACTTTTTTAGAGGCATATGTTATATTACCACTCATAGCTGCTCAAAATGTCGTTCGTGCACTTCAGAACAATGTCTTAATCTAGAAGTCCAAGCTTGTGTAGCGTTTTGATAGATACGGTAATTTGTGGGATATCGTTCCAAATCAACCTAAACCATCTGACTTTCAATTTTTCTGCTTTTCTGGCGACCACCATGTATTTATTATGGCCGAAAACACAGCATTTTTATGTTCAGTGTACAAAGAACTGTTTGACAATATATAAAACACGGATCATTTTTAGGCAATGCCCAGTTCTATGAAAACAAATTTACCATTTTCAATATTTACAGATCAATGACTTGAGAATGATATGAAACAAAACATGATTTTTAATAGTATTTTCTAACATCAAGGAAATATATTATATGTGAAGTGAATAAAACACAATGTTGAAAAAAATAATATAATTAAGAATAATAGATTTGACATACATAATTGGAATGAGAAATAGGAATTTAAAAACAAAATAATAAAAGTGGAATTATTTCAAGTGAAGGAAAAGATGATACATGGTAGTAAACTAGTAATTAAGTGATTCGACTATACAGACTTATTTACGGATTTGAATATATTAAATTTTGACAACAGAATAATAAATGCGGTTCATATTTATTTATTGTACAAAATAGGTTTTCTGTCATAAATAGAGATTTCATGAATTCACTGTTAGTAATTTATAGACCCTACAGGGTGACCCAAATAAACCCAAGTTATTTGGAACATATTATAGAGAGAACTTTTGTGTCCTAGCGTTCCAGATTATCGAAACTTTTGGGTATAGTCATAACCAAACAGAGGTTAAACTTTTATGTACAATCATACACAAATAGGGGTTCACACGTTTTGTATAATTAGGAAATTTATGGATTCTGTTTTTAGACGCCCCGATCTCACATGCAAATTTTGAAAAGTGGCATCTAGGGTTGCACCAAGATTAAAATCATTGTTTTTTTTTTTAACTTGTTCTTTTTAAGCACTATGAGTTGATGACATACTCATTTATTAATCCTATTGAATCTTGAGGGTATTCCAACATACAAATATTATTTTTATTTCGATAAGACATTGTTACTTTGTGTCTTGCTCAAAAAGTTGCAAATCCACTTTGACGACGACCTCTCCGGATTCAACTTCATGAAGAAGTAATCGTTTGGTTAGAGGTCCTTTGCTTTCTGCAGTGTCTCGTTTGATATCCGACACTTTGATTTCAGTTCGTCCAAGAAAATCTAGATAAATATTAATAATTTTTTTTCATAAAACTTCATAACCATAAAAGTATAGCATGATTATGTCTGCGATGAGCCTCAACTATGCTAGTATCAATGATAAAATACGCTCTGTTTGAGGCATGGGTGCTTTGCTGCCTCATCGTTACTTTTTTCTATAGTGGCATTCGGAATAATTGCCTAAATAAGAAAGTAATCTTCAATGAAAAGATTAGGGAGCACAATCAAATACGATTTGTCTACTGAAAAACTAAAATCATACCATCAGGAGAGAACATGTCTTTCTGGAAAACAGAAATGCACAAAACATCTTCTTTGATATCCTTGACAAAAAACTGCATACTTGTCCCCCATTTTGGATTTTGTGTATCCTGAAATTAAATATATATATATTTGATCAAAATAAAATATTACCAGTAAGAATATTCCTACACTGATTACTCGAATAATCAAAAGTTCTATCGCGGAATCGATTCCAATTTAAGTATTATAAACCGATAAAATATCTTGCAAAAATTGGGTTTCATGAAAAATAAAAAAAATTAATCTCAAAATCGCAAATTTGAGAAAAAAAACGTATTTATGTAAAAATAGTAACTAAAATTATCAAAAAATTAATCTCAGAATCGCGAATTTAAAAAAAAATCATAATTAGGTAAAAGTAGTAACTAAAATTACCAAAAAATTAATTTCAAAATCGCGATTTTGGAAAAAAATCGTGTTTAGGTTAAAAATAGTAACTAAAATTATCTGTGATCTGAAGATGGCCTAATTGTCAAATATTGCATTAAAAAAATTGCATTAGAATAGTTATTTCTGTGGGCATCTTGGCCCTCAGGTACAGAACAAAAAATGACCTTATTAATGTATCGAAACACTAAAACATAATCTAATTAAGTTTAGATATTAAACTGCACAATACCTGAATTGTTTTTGTCAAATGACTTTGCACTCCCATTGTTACTTCACAATATGGATCATTTCTCCCATTGGTGTTTTTAACAAGATTGCAACCTTCAACAATATTAACCATTAGTCTTCCAATGCCGGCAGTCCTTTGTGATCGAGCTATGAAAATGAGAAATTAAAATATATCTTTGATCGAATATTGCAAATTTAAAATATATTCTCTCAATATGATAAGTTTAAACAGATTATTTCAAAATTGAATTAAACCAAGGTTCAGCAACAAATTATTAAGAAAAATTATTTATTACCAAAATTGAGAACAATTTGAAACTTCTGTAGTATATATGGAAAAAGCATTCCAGTAAGCATGAAAAATGAGACACTGATTTGCAAAAGATATTATTTTTGGAACAACCCATTTATTTCTGGTTCGCGTTGCCATTGTACTTAAAATCTTGGGAATTTAAACCAGAGATCCATCTCCTTCAACATGGTTAGGTCAATTGCTCTAATCACTACGTCAGGGATGGTAAACGACCGACCCGCCATGTTGCGATTAATGAAAAAAAATTGTGTTTTCGGTGGCCCCATCCCCACATGTCCTGATTAATGCAAAAACACACAATGTGTTTTCTGTGACCCCACCCCCACATGTCCCAATTAATGCAAAAACCCATGTGTTTTCAGTGACCCCACCCCTACATGTCCTGATTAATGCAAAAACACACAATGTGTTTTCTGTGACCCCATCCCCACATGTCCCAATTAATGCAAAAACCCATGTGTTTTCAGTGACCCCACCCCTACATGTCCTGATTAATGCAAAAACACACAATGTGTTTTCTGTGACCCCATCCCCACATGTCCCAATTAATGCAAAAACCCATGAGTTTTCAGTGACCCCACCCCTACATGTCCTGATTAATGCGGAAACCCACAATGTGTTTTTGGAGACCCCAGCCCCACATGTTCCAATTAATGCGAAATCCCATGTGTTTTCGGTGACCCCACTCTCACAAAAACAAGCAGGCTACAGGCAGCAACACTGGTAAAAAAGGTTCGTCACTGTTGCCCTCGTCCATTTTTAAACTACATGAATACCTACCATGATAAGCTTTCTCTCGTTTCTTTTTCTCAGTGTCGATATAAAGTTGTGAAGCATTTTTAATTTTGTTTGTCCAAGCGGTTCGTTCATTGACATTCTCAGCACGAAGAGCATAAACTCTATCGACATGGGACAAATGAAAGACCGCTAATTCTTCATCATTCGTACTGCTCCCTCCCGCTGGACTAGGATCGGTCGGAAGTCGAATGAGAACCTCATTTAAAAATATTGGCTGAAAAATAGAAAGTATTTTCAGAAATATTACCTTATACCAGTGTTTCTTAATATCTAATTTTAATGTGGTTACATCTGTTGCTTAATGTGCCAGGTTTGTGCCAAATGATAAAAAAATGAATGCATCAGGGTTAAAAATTTAAATGCATCACAGTCTTCTAATTTAACCTAATGTAGTCAATGTGAATGATACCAAGTGTAGGCTCTTTCTTTCACCCACATTAACCTCAAATTTATAGGTCGCTAAATAAAGATAGCACCTATTTGGTGGAGGATAACTTGGTATTATAAAAAAACAAAAAAAAATAAGAGCATGATACAAAATCGATTTAAAATATACAAATATAAATAAAATGCAGGTACCAGGTCAATAATTGAAGAAAAATTCAATCAGCTACTTGAAGAAATGGTTTGATCATTTTAGGGATAATAGATTTTGCAAAGATATGGAAAAACATATCTCGACGCACCAATTGCTTAGGATTTCATAAACCTTGTAATATTATAAACAAATAATCACCAGTAGGTAGTCTATATGAAAGCATCACTAACACAACTCAATAAAATTCCTCATTTTCAACAACATAATTTTAAAAAAATAAAAAATTTACCTGTTTATACAGACGGAATTGAAGATTATTTTTGGAACTGAATATAAAATCATTGACTGGCATATTGAGGGGTCTGGTGGCAGTTGTAAGAAGTAAAAAATCGTTGAATAGGAATCCGACTAAATCTTTGTTAGATTTATGTTTATACAACGTTCCACAGTGCAAAAATCGACGCTGTCCAAGGCAATTGGTTGCTGAGTTGAAGACAAGTTTCTGAAATAAATTTTATGGTCAGTAAAAGCCATAAAATAAACATTGTCCCGGTCAGGTGATTTAGCCTTAACACTATCGGCATCGCATCACAGTTTTTGGGTCAATATGAGACACACTAACATTGCATAGAACGAAATTTTGTGATCAAATTAAAAGAAAAGAAAGTTGTTCGATAGCTAATTGAATAGCAATTGTATGTGTATTCCTTATGGTCAACAAGATGATACAAAACTATATCAGGTTTCAACAGATGGGAAAATGGGTTATAGTTCCAAAATTTAGCTATCTGTCATAAACGAGCATCAAAAAGAGTTTAACTTATCAAGGAAAGCACCAACTGCCAGAACCCAAGAATCTTATTTTATTCTCTGGTAGGAAAGTTTCATAGCTTTTTCTACCAGTAATGATCAAGAACTATTGAAGGACACCTTTTTGGTATATCAGTATAGCCTTACATTTGGCATAGAATCATTATTTCAAACAATTCAAAATCAAACAAAAAACATCTGAAAATAACTAGCAAAACCTAATCTAACACTTACATCATTTAATCCTTCTAGTTGAACATGGGTTTGAATCCATTCCAATCTGTCGGCATTTTCTTTTTCCCGAACACCTTCATTCACTTGTGAGCAGATTTCTTCTGCTCTTTCTAATGCAAGTTTCAAGTGATTGTGATCAACATGACCTTCAGGAGTATGTTTTAAAATCTGAAAAGTAATATTTTACACATAAATATCACCAGAACTGTTATATGCAGTGGTGGGATTCAGTCGGTTCGCACCAGTTCGTTAGAACCGTCTCACAGAATTTTATGAGATCAGCGAACCGGTTAGCATTACTGGTTACTGTCAATGACTTTAGCATATTGTCTTTGACTGAATCACACTCAAAAAGATGCTCTAGCTGCTACAAGATAAATATTCATGTGACACAAAGATTCAGCTCTACATCTTGTCTCTCTTCTCATTGGAATTTAGTGTTCTTTGGGGCTGATATAAATGTATAATTAGGCCACAGGTAGGGTTGAATCTTAGCAACACTTAACCGGCCACCTAAAGTAAGTGCTCATAAGCGGACTCCAAACTGGGTGACTTTCCGGAAAGACCCTGGTATAACAAGAACATCGAGAATGACAATTGACAAGTAGCACGTGGTAAATGTAAAAATTTGGATTTTACGTTGAAATTTGGAAAAGATGAAAAACTCGCAACTTTCAATTTTTCAAACAGGACAATTGAGACATGTTGTTGGAATTTTGGATATTTTTCGCTTAACCTGAGCAATTGAAACTTTGCAAAGATTAATTTTGATCTAACGAAATCAAAAAATCACACAAACAGACATGCTCTGAATGCCTCTGATGACACAAACAGACATGTTCAAAATTCAGGGTGAGTTTACTTGAACTAGGCAACTAAATATACCGTACTTACTTTTTCTATTAGAAGAGGATATTTCGTGATTCTCTGCATTGGTTTGACTAAGTAACTACTGACAGGTAAACCCTTGAAGTCACTTCCACTCTCACAAGACTGAAAAATAAAGTTAAATAATGAGATGGCCACAAAAACATCAGGATATAAGCCCAATTTGGCTCACAAAAAAAATTTACATACTAATTTCACAATGAATCTGATTTTGAAAGATATATTGTATTTATACCCTTGACTATTTCAAAAGTTTTTTAATTATCCAAACCCATAACATATATCGAATTCAGTGCTTCAGATAACCCCGTATGCGCATAAAGTTTATCAAAAAGCATTGCAGTCATTATTGACAGCTACTTCTATGGATCTGGATGTATAAGTGTTTTGGTTTTTTCTGCATAACAAGTACTGGTAATGAACAGGAACTCCAATCTACACAGCAAATATGAGGTTTAAACATGTATCCGCAATATCGTAAATGAGAAATTACAGCTTTTGATTTGTAAAATCTACAGGGTTCCAAGAAAAACAATGAATTCCTCAATTACTCCTATTAAAATGAAGAATACTTGAAACTTCTGTGCTTGATGGGACCCAAAAGTTTCATTAATCTGGTAAGCTTTGCACAAAGGTTATGTTCTTTCAAGAATATGTTACGAATGACCTGGGTTCTGTTTTATTTTGGATCACCTGTATATCCATATTACTATATAGCGTCCACCAAGTGGAAGACAATTCGATTAATTGGCTTCTGAAAGGATTTTCTACTCGACGTACCACACCTACCTTGACAAACTTTTTAAATTCAGGATCGTTGTCTATTTTCTCTTGTAGGAGGCTTGAAGCATTCAATTGACAACTGCAAAATCTAACATACGGCTGTAAGTGAGGAAGTTGTTCACATAAGATATCACCGATGAGTGAAACGACAGCTCCAGGAGCGCCATCGCCACTGTTTTTCCTTCTAACACGAAACGCTCTGAAATTTATTTGGAGAGAATTCAAAATAATCATGCATCAAGTTTCTTTCGTCCTAATAATAGTTCGGAAAGTTTAAACCCACTAAGTAACAACTGCCACTGTTAATATTGCATAATTGTGATTAGAAGTAACACTACTGAAAATGGTGAAGGATAAACTAAAACAAAAAATTGAATGTTTACTTGACAATTTTAGCACTGCACATTATTAATTCATTCCAATTGACAAACAAAGTGTTTAGTTCTTGTTCTGTCAGAAGTTTCTTTTCTTTTAATGGTGATTGAAATCCGGAGTTGGCCATTTCTAAATCCTAAAAAGTGATGATTGTAAATTTACGATTCGTAAATTATAGTCTAAAATAATAGGGCCAGTCGCATTATAGAGGTGGACAAGTGGTTCAAGAGTTGGACCACGGGTGGGGCAAGGTTTTTGGGCCAGGGGCCAAAAATTTTGCCCATCTGGACTGGCAGGCAATTTTACATTTTATAAACAATGTTTACAGTGTTTCAAAAGCAAAAGTGGAAAACAATAAGCCTCTGCCAAATCCATCACAATCTTAACAAATTCTTCAAGCTATTTTTTAGCTAAAACATCAAAATTTGGCTTTAGTTAGTTGTGCCAGCATCAGGTGGGCCAGATTGAATTACCCAACGAACCAGAGTTTGCCCATGTCAGAGTTAGACTTAGCCATGACTCTATCGTAGACTCGAATACCATGCCCACCACCTCACCCAGAGTGTAATAAAGTGATGGGTGAATGCGAAACCGAAAAGATTCCAGTCCTCCCAAACTATTGTAGCTCTTCACCTAAAAGTGGTTGCTTGTGCAGACCCTTGCTCAGAATGGAAATCGGTCATATACCAAAAACTTGGTTGGTAATTGTAATTGGTATCAGGAAATATTTGAAAAAATTTAGAAATAGATAAATCCTTTGATAACCATTAGGATGATAGTAAAAAGCAAAGCATACAAATTCTGAACCTTTTTTAAGTTTATTCAAAAATGGCACCCTTTACTAATAACTTTACAAGTTTACATTATCTTTATTTCAACTGACTTGACCGAATACACTGGTCTTTAAATTTTAAAGATTAGACAAAAACATAATATCAATGTTGTTGTTTTGGGGAGAAAAATCAGTTTGTATTTGGTGTATTTTTACTAAAATAGTTTAGTTACAATAGTTAGTATCATTGTAATCCATATTTATGCAAACAGTATAAAATATTCATACTGTACAAAAGTAAAGAATCAAATTGTGTATGTCACTAACTAACCATCCTTCGGAAAAAAGAAGAAACAACAGAAACCTGTTTTCATGCGTGGTGGGGAAGGAAAAAAATAGGCAAGTAGAGAAATGTATCAAAAAAGATTGTGAAGCACTTCTAAGAAAAAACAAGATACCACCTTCAAGTATGATTCTTCTGAAACAATAAGTTCATGAATGTGTTGTTGTCTCTTAATTTCCTCTGATGACATAGCACTTTGTTCTTGAGTCCCTTCAAAGACATTTCAAAAACTTTAAAAATTAGCAAAAAACAAACTGAAAATAACAAATAAATAAACATGGATATCAAATCAAAGTTTATAAATATATGAAAGAACCTCACCTGAAGGATGAAAGAATAATTTTGAACAAACATGAGGGTAAATCTGAGATAATAGACTTAATGCTCATTTCTAGTATCAGGTAGAGGTTCCCAACTTTAAAGAATAAAATTTATATCTGCGACAGCCGACAATGTGAATCTCTAGAAATGACTTCATTTAAAATATATACTATTGATTTCTTCTGCTGGCTTTGTGAGAAATAATTGAACTTCAGCTATGAACCCCACAAATTAGGGAACCCTTTCTTTGACGCCAAACAGGGTGTTTATAAAGTGTTGTTACAATTTAGATTTCCTTATGAAGTCAGTTTTCAATATATTTTAACTCATTTTATTAGAGTTTTTTAATTTATTTTTATTCAGCATTCTAGTTTTTTACTTCATTTAATATACCTATCAATAACTTTCTTTGCAATTTAAGAAGCTTCGATACTTTATGAAAGCATTGTATGTACAAAAGTAATAATTCATTTCATTGGTATTTCGAGCAGCTAACAAGTGTCGATCTGCTTGTGAAGAGCCGTTTTATGATGTAAATCATAAAAAAATTGGCATCGCTACTTGGTAGTATTTATTTATACAATGATTATCCAAAAATTTCGTGATTATCCAAATTTTCTCCAAATTTTATTTAGGATTGATTTTTATCTGGTTGTGGAAAATAATCTTGATTTGACATATTCAGCTCCAAACGAGGTCCCATACTATCAGCCACTGATATCTAACAGTAGTAAGGTAAGTACTGGAATCTTTACACTAACCGTAACATTTCTCTAAACAACAACAATATTCACCAATTGTATCATATGAAATTGATGACATAGCTGATATTTTACATATCGTTTTTATTCCACACAGAAATATTATATACTTTTAATAACATTGTGTGGTCGATAATATGATACAATATAAAACATATTTAGTTTATACAACACTGATAACACTAACAAAACAAATATTATGATAATATAGACGCAAAACACTCCGATGGTCTTGGCATGAGGCATATCAATACAACTCTAAATAATGAAAGCAAAAGATAGCAAGCTTTTTTACTATAATCTACAAGATAAGGTTTCTTGTTATTGTGTGTTATACAGCTTGAATTTGATAATCTGTTTGCAACTGGATACTAAACGGGGTTGCTCTATGCTCACTAAAAAGGAGCATTTCATGGCTTTTTTCATATAGCGAGAAAAACGAAAGGTTTTATAATGTCAACCTGGTCAGATAAGACTATGTATTTCTAAATATGAAATCATCATAGCATATTGTATCAGAACTTTCACTACCAAGAAATTGAAATTTTGAGATGTTGGACGTGTTTATGGCAACCATTAGTAAATTCAGGTAGATTCTACATCACAAAGTCCAGGAATTCTACCAAAGAGCAAACTATTTCTAATTTTTCAAAATCTGAGAGCAGTTATCAATGCGCATTAATTCACAACAGAAAATAAAATTGATAGGAGCAGAAAAAAAAACTAGAAGTCACCAGCTGGATGTCTGTCACTTTGAGAGATATTAACAACTTTCAGTTTCTCAACAAAAATCTGCAAGTTGGAGCGGTTAAGAGAATAGCATTGCTGCTTTATGTTGAGTAAAGGATTGGTGTAATTCACATCAAAACTAATGTTAATAACTTAATAATGTAAGTATTATCTACTTACATTGCATTCTCATCTTTACTGAGTATGGATTAATTGTATGTATTTAAATTTAAAATGTGTAGTTATACAACAAATATTGTTATTCCATTCTATTCAGATGTAGAAGTGGTATCTTTTGCTGAATAATTGCTAAATTATTTCCATCATAGAAGAAACATATAGCAAGAAAAGACTATCGAAAACAAAAAATTGCATGATGAAACCGGGAACAAATTTGGAAAGACTACGTTAAAATACCTGTACATAAGATTTAAGGCTGATAAAAAATGAGGAAAGATAAGTCACAATGTGAATGCCATTTTCAAGGAATTTCATGTAAATTGACAGATTTTTTTTCGTTAAAAAAGAATCGATAAAAAGCTACCACTTCTGCACCTGAACATGTTACTAATTATGATAAAGGAAAATTATGTCATGCAACCAGGAAGATTTTTGCAATGAATAAATACTAGCAAAAGCGAATAGATGATGTAACAGCCAAATTTTGTGTACATGAAAACCGAAAAATTAAATTTGCGTTCACAAAAAAACAACAGGTAAAGTCAGGCATGCAAAATAATATATCGAAACAATTTGAATAATCCTTTTATCAAAAATGTTTTATTTCTGTGTAACATTGAAACAACACTGAAAGGGAGCCAGAAATGAAAAAATTCCTTTGGAAAAAAAAAAGAACTGGGAACAGGGAAAAACCAGATCCAGCCAGTTCGAAAAATCATAAATATACATTCTTATTATTGTTAAAATTGTGTAATGCCATGAAACACAGAGAAAATTTTCATTTATTTCAAGATTTATTGATATCAAAATACCCGCAATAAAAATTGAGTGCAAAGAATCGGTATGAAACCTACGTATCAATGCAACACCTCAAAAACAAAACAAAAAGAAATAAACTATAATCCAGCAATGTAAAACATCACATGCCCTGGTGCAGAAGTGACCACTTAATATCAGATAAATTTTAAATTCAAATTAAAAGGTTGCGTGACTAAAATCACACTGTCCTGATCCAAGAAATGCCATATATGATGATCATCATGGCACTTGAAAATGGCATCCAATCATTCCAACTTTAATTCGTAATCTTGTGAGAATATCCTGCAAAGGAGAGCAATTATGTCTACGTCATGCTGAGGATAGTGGAAGATTGCAAAAATAAAATAAGCTCAATTGAAATTGACTTTTTTCCGTCCCATCAAAGAAAACTAAATTATAAACGAAAGTTTGTAAGGGGGTAAAAAGCGATGCCAGACAGATTTGCATAGCAAATATCATGCACTATTAATATATTAATAAAAAAGTGGATTGAGCGGGCTCATGTCAAATTATACTATAAAGTTGCCTCCTAGAAAACTACTTCTAATTTTTATTGATAAGATAGAAATGTGTAAAAAATTCCTAAAAGAATCAAGAAGCAGAAATAATTCAAGTAAAACATATCATTTTCCAAAAATACTCGATGCAAAAAATAGCTAAAAAAAGGACAGATTTTTGGATTTAGGCTATATGGTGCTAAATAACTGCATTTAAATTTTAAACCCCATTTTTAACTTTGATAGCATGGAACTTACAAGAGTTCCAAAACAAGATTCAATCAGTTGACCCACAGTAAATGAATCTTGCATATTACCGATCACTTTATGTTAACATTTAACAATGTCATCAATCATCACTTACCTGAATGTTATCAGATCACACATTAAGTCTAAAGAGTTTTTTTTTTTAATTTAGAGAATCTACATATTTTCAATGGGTCAAACTCTGCCATGTTGAAATAGTAAAATTTTTCAGATTTTGGTGAAACTAATATTAATGTGAGAATAAAAATATTTCATCTTAGAAGCATTTGAAACCGCCTACCACATTACCATTTTGCAAGAGAGAATCAATGAAATGAAACATTCAAGAAACTAAAAATTGAGAAAATTTGCACAAAGAAGGACATGTGCGCTAACTCCGACGTAAAAGAGACTCATCTCTGAGCATAGTCACAAGTGAACACTCAGATTTCAAGAGTACCGATAAAAAGAAGGTAAAAATTAGGTTTGGAGATCAGCGAATTTTTGGCCAGAAAGAGTTTAACTTAGGACTCTAATTGAATAAGACTGCTTGCTTCGATTAGGAACTGCATTAAACCAAAAGTATTCAAATCTTGAAGAATCAATTCCACCATTAGGCCAGACTTTGTCCTATCATGATAAGTACTAAAATTAAAACCCCTATTAGAAATCAAATTAGATAATATCAGAGGTGAGTTTAGAGGGGGCCAAAGGGGCAGCATGATGTAGGGGTGAGTCCGTTTCTTAGTTTGATGATTTAAATAATAATGTTACAAATATTTTACTCTTACTTGACCTTTAATTTATTTCTTCTCATGTATAACAACATTTATAATTTGTTCATCACCCAAATTATTTTTGAAATTCGGCATAAGGGGCAGTATTATCAGAAACTGGCCACGAACAGTAGAAAAGTTTGACACGCCACTGGATAATATCAGATACCTATTCAAACCAGCCCAGTCAACTTTTGGGCATCCTTTGTCTTTTGGCCAATGGGTTAAAACCTAATAATTAACTCTATTAAACACATACTGTAATATTTCTGAATACCGAATATGCACATCGACAATTGCATAAATCAAGGTAAATCAAGAGAGGGAAAAAAATGCAAAAAAATTTGACTAAAATGCTTATTAATGCTTGAATTTCCTATAATAACAATGTCGGAAGTTAGGTGAAATTTATTTTTTTTGCATCTTGAAATTGCATCAGACATTGAATGGTACGTTTGAAACTAGATCATTCCCAAAATCACGAATGGACAATACTAAATATATCCAATTTCACATGTATTCAAAAATTTCATTCATCTTAGACATCCCTATTCGGATTACAAAGATTTTAGGTAATTTACTCACAACGAGCTGATCCTGATGAATCATTCGGTCCCAACTCTCGAACGTAATTTCTTGGAAAAAGTCCGTCAGTGGTTGAATTATTTTTTAAGAAACCTTTCCACCAATCAGCATCGCTACGGTCAGTTACGCTGATGAGAGCACCTCGTGCGAACGTAATTTCATCGTCGTTTTGTGCTGTGTAATCATACATCGCCATGACTTGGCACAAAATTTCAGGCTTTTTAACAGAAGGCTGTGACGTAGGAGCCTAAATGAAAAAAAATTAAATTACAGTTGAGTCTAACACTTTGACCGCTTTGGCTTTGATTCTGCTGAGGTTTTATTGAACAATCAATTAAAAACTACAAAATAAATATTCAAATTAGTTAATTTGCACGAAATTCTAATATACGATATTCACAAATGCTAATTAATGAAGAGTACAGGTATAAGAATCGAAACTAATCTTCTTTTGCTGATAAAATTTTCTACGATTTAAGCGAAATCCTGATTTATATCAAACTTTACAAATCTCCCTCTTCAAAAACCATAGTAGATTGAAAGATTATTCGAATAGTCAACAGGAATTCCAAACATACTCATACCTTAGTTTTAGTTTGTCCTGAAGTTCGAACCTTGACATAATTAGCAGGAAACCATCCTACTTGTTTCTTTTTGCCCCGAGCCTAAAAAGATTAGATTTTATCATATGAAAATACATCAATTTATAGAACAAGCACAATAAAAGCCTCAACATTATTGGAATCATGAAGGAATCCAGTGGAGTAATATTCTCCCAAGGCACCGTTCGAATTAATTATTTGATTTCAAAATACTTTTAATTGTGTTTTTGAATATTTATTAATATATTTATTTTATGGTATGTTAATATGGTATGGTATATAAATTTATCAATTCTACAAAACGAAGAAAATTAATTCAACACCCGAATTTCTGTTTGTGAATGAATGTACCCAAAAGTTTTAGTAATCTAAGACGCTTTGCATAAAAGTCATGTTCCATCTAATATGTTGAAAATGAGTTCTACTTTTTTCTTGAGGTTACCATAGTTAATTTCCCAGGTGCATTGACTTTGATAGGGAATGAACCCATATCCAAAATGTGGTTACATAGAACCACTATGTCTTCAGTTGAATATAAATCCAATATCAGTAGTTTTTACACCTTATTGATGGCCCAGGAAAAGACTATGTCCTATACATTCTTATTTGCAACCATTACTTGACAATTTTGATTCAAAAAGAGGCAGTTTCCAAAAAAAAAATGTACTTCGCAGATATGACAGGATAGGGTTTTTATATGTATACCAGGAGACATAAAGTCACTAAGACGGCTTGATCATATGGCGTACCATATACTCTTGTCTGGTCACTCATCCATTTCGGGTATGGGATAGTTAACCAGTTATTTATTTCAAATGCATGGACTTCATGATGAAAAAGCAGTAACCAGCCAGTGGCTACTAGAACCACCTACGATGGTGAAGAGTCCAGCGATCGCCTCGCACATAATTCTTCCCCACATGATTCGAACCTGCGAATCCCCACATAGCTCGAACATTACCACTAATATAAGAAATAAAGCAAATTCTACCTGCAGTTCGCCTTCCCACCATCCAGAATCATTCTTCTTCTTTATTAAAACGAGTTGATTCATTTTCAAGGATAATTGATTGGCAGCCGAAGCAGTGTATGGTGCAATAACAATAGCTATCTCTTTCCCCGAGCTCGTAGATGGCGTAGTTGTTGCGGTCGGTGTAGAGGACTTTTGTGTAGGTTTGGTCTGAAAGATCAATTGAACAAAATTTGATTTCTCATTATTTCATATTATTTTTCTGTCATAAATTTTTCCGTTTATAAGAATAGCATATTAGTGAGCTTTTGTTAGGTCATAATTACCTTACAAGCGCAAGTATATCTTGTTTTGTCTAAAGAAGTTCGAGTACCATTTATAAAAAGATTACTAATATATATTCAATATATATTGAAAAGAAATTATTTTTCCTATCCTTGTAGCTTACGGAAATAAGTATACAAGAATGAACAAACTGCAACTCAATACACAATATTCGAGTATTCTCTGTATTGCCAGAGAGTCACATTCTAAATTCTGAGCCATTAAATAAATCAACCCCGATTTAAAATTGACAAAACTTCTGAATCCCGCTCTAAAAAGTGCTGTGCACAAACAGCTACGTTATTATAAGATTAGAAGCAGAATTTTACCCATGCCATCATACAGTGGCATGCATACCAGGTTTTTTTGGGGGGTTTTGACGTTGATTATCACCATTAAGTGTCTGAAAGTCTGACCGCAACTCTGGCGATTTCCTGATTTCGAATTCTACTTTGACCCCAATATAAATGAAAATGTGCCAGACTTTGACTCTTCAGTGTTGCTCAGACATTACAGTAAATAACCCTGATGTCTACACTAACCTCTTTCTCTTTCAGTGTGACATAATTGGCCGGAAAAATTCCAGATCGAGTACCAATTGTTCCCGTCCACCAATCACCATCCATCTGCGTAACATGGATCACATCACCAACTTCAAAATTTAAATCGCCGTCTTCCGCACTTGAAAATGTATAGCTTGCAACATAATCTGAAAATGAAAAAGAGTAAGTGTCAAATTTCAGTGGACGTAACAGCCACAATATTGGATCACAAAATCCTAAAAATGCCGAAAAAAAGTCAACCATACCAAGAAAAGATCAGAAAAATGTAAACAAAGAGAGAGGGAGCCCCGTTGAGTTCTTGAACCCCACAAAAAACCCCAAAAAGCCCATAAAAAATTCAACTATATAAAGAAACGATCAGAAAAGTGTACACACCGAGAAAGTGAGCTTTGATGAGTTTTTGTGCCCCGCAAAAGACCCCAAAAAGCCCATAAAAAATTCAACTATATAAAGAAATGATCAGAAAAGTGTACACACCGAGAGAGTGAGCCCCGTTGAGTTTTTGTGCCCACAGGGGGCAACCAAGTCTGCATTTCTGTGCTTCAACTACTCCCCAACATACACCACAGGCTCAGCCTACAGAGCGTCTTAGCCCTTAAATATCCCAGAGGAAAGTGGGGTCTTCAGTTGGGGTAAGGCTTACAAGAGCCCCAGCACTTTCTGCTGTAGTTTCGGGGACTTTCCCCCAAGTGAGGAGAACGTGGCTTCCTGACTTGGTAAGCAGACCTTCAAGGTGGACAAAGAGGCATGTCACAGATTTCTTTAAGACATAGCACAAAACAATTAAGCTACCATTTGTGGTGAATTTATATGCTGTGGATCAAATATTTCTAATCTTGCATAAGTTACCCACCTTTTCCTGTTGAAGTTGTTGTTTTTGCTGTTGCTACTGCTGCTGCTTTCGGGGGTACGGGAGCTTTCCGTTTTTGCATTGGGGAACTTCTTGGTTTTTGATGATCTGTGGCATTCGATGCGGTAACTTCTTTGACATATGATTTGGGAAACCATCCAGACTGCAAAAAAGATCACAGATTATTCAAAAAAGGTGATTTTTCACACTTAACGAGGAAATTTTCAAAATGCGACCATGGAGTAACATGATACTAACTACCTATCCTCACTTACGCTACTGAAGGTGGCTCTGTATGTGCAAGGGTACTTTAGCAAGATTAAGGACGACTATTCCGTGTGATTCAAGAGTCTTACTGCATACTAACCCAAGTGAATTTCTGTAAATTTCTTATCTGGCTGAGGTTAGACTTCTTCATTGTGCAAAATAGACATATGCAATATTTTCACAGTGCCTTATTGACCTTTTGAGACCCTAATTTTGGAATTTACGATTGAAAACAACAAACTTATTTACTTACATTTCCATTGCAGGACCCGAACCACCACATTGCTTGTTGTTCTGATACCACAATAATATCGTCTGTGTCGAATGTGAGATGATTGTCTTTTTTTGCTTGCCATGGATACAACGCCTTACATTTTAGCGACGCTATTGGCTGACCCTGTTTAGTTGATACAAGAAAATAGGTCACAATGATACCTTGGAACATTGATGAAACAAAATTTTCAACTGAATCCTTTGGGGGATAATTATGTACAAAAGAATCGCCAAACTCGTCGCCATTGTGGGGTGGTTCACATAACCACAGTTGGTTATGGTTTTCTCCACCATCAAATCCATGCATCTGAAACAAATAACTGGTAACTATTCCCATACAACATGAACAGATAACCAGACTGAAAACCGTGGTTCGCATCAACGGCTTTCCTCTTTCCACGATCAATATATGAAGTTTTAACTAATCAAATCAAAAATATTTCAGTTCTAAATAATGTACTCTTTTACTTCAATTCAGAAGTAAAAAAAAATGATTGAAAATATACAGGTGAAGTGGGCCACATTCAAAGACAAACGAGAGTCATTGAGAGAGCATACCAAATAGGTTTTAAATTTTTGATTCGACTATATTTCTGAAATCAAAAATTTATTAAATCAAATATAACAATTTCAAAATGTACGGTAGTTACACAGTCTTTCAATACCTGGCTAACGAATTCCTAAATAAGATAAATGGATGCAAATAATACATAACTAAAATAGCTTTTAGATACAAAAAAACTTCTACCCACCTTTCCAGGAATAGGTGAAGTGTCTTGAACTCGACTTGCAACAGAGAAAGCAGATGTTTCACCAGTTTGTATTGTATCGGGTGTAGTCGTCACCCTAAAAATAATTTTCATCAAGTATTTGCTCCATTTTAACACGGCTTCGCTGCACATAAGGTTTTAGGTAGGGCTTATTAGTAAATAAACCCCACCCGGATCCCCAGGTGTTTTGAAGAGAAATGGGCAAATAGCCAGTAGCGTAATTTGCAGCTTTTTATGACAATACACTAAACGAGAATATAGATCGGAGACCGAAGAATTATCGATCGAAAATTAGGGGATCCCCCAAAACAGCGCTCTTACTCCATAGCGACACCGTGTGTCCCATCACTGATTAATTAATAACTCGCTAAATATACGACATAATTCATCCAAAATCAATAGGCTTCTGGTCCGGGCTATGGTGAATGCACATGCAAAATTTGGAGCATATTCAACCTTACTTTCGTGAGATATCGCGTGCATCTAACAGGCAGACAGACAAATACCTAGCAACATACTTACCGATCTTAAGATCGATGAGTAACTAGGCTTTGTGCATGCCAATAAACCAGCAAATAGTTAAGAACAATAATGCAAATTGTAAGTAAACATAATAACACACAAATTTCACTTGCAAGAAGCTTCAAATATTCATAATACTGAATAGTTTTACCTGTTAGGTTTAGCAGACTGAGGTGGTGGTTGAATGAGTGTTGGTACTTTTGCAGGTTCTGAAAAAAAAAAAAATAATCTAAGTTTTAAATAAAAATTGTACAGATTTATTTAACATTAGACAAATTCTTATAACAATGGGTTAAAAGAGGTGTCCAGAGGGGTTTGGCAGGTCGTTCAAAATGGTTTTGTAGGTCATCCGGAAAATTTCGCGAGTTGTCCAAAAAAATTTTATCCACAGGGTTCTGCGAGTTGTCCAGAGGAATTTGGCAGATGTCCAAAGGGCTTTTTGAGTTGTCCAGAGGGTTTGCAAGTTGTCTATTGGATTTTGTGAGTTTTCCAAAATGGTGGTGAGTAAAAAAGTAGAAAAACATACGCTTAAAATTTGGTTTCAATCCCAGCTCAAACACATTATTCAATTCTAGCTAGCTTATGAAATATTCAATTATCAGGTTTTCTCTTCCGGCTGAGTGTTTTACCCATTACTCATCATTCGTCATTTTGTTTCGACAAAAACAACTTACCTTTCGCGATTGGTGGAGGTGGGGTACTGGATTCAGAGTCCATAATTTTTTCGACATAATTGACAGGAAACCATCCTTTCTTACCATTAAGAATACCAGAATACCAACCAGGTTCAGTGGTTTCATTGTCATCCACCTATCAAGGTAAATAAATAATGTTATGCCTTTCAAATGATAAGTTTGTTTCAGTGAGTTCGATAATAAAATTCAGTTAACCTTATTTCAGCGAGTTTCAGTATGTTTCTGTATATAAACAGATTAAAATACACTTCTAACAATCAGCGTTACAACAATAGCAAGAGCAATAAATAAATAGTCATATTTGTACCTGAACAATATCTCCCTCATTTATAGTCAGTTCATCTTGATTTCTGGCTTCAAAATTATACAGGACCTGAAACCGTGGCAAGTTTGCTGTTGAACCTAAAAAGATGATTAAATATTGAAGTTCATAAACATATCAATTTATAAAAACAAACAGGGTTATAAATTCAATATGAAAAAATAAATACACGGTGACCCAAAAAAACAAGACCCAGGTCATTTGGAACATATTCCAAAAATAATTTAACTTATGTAAAAATCGTCCTAGATTTCATTTGGGTGCAATCATACACAAGAAGAAGTGTTCAAGTTCTAAATAAATTTTCTTAATTTTCATAGCAGTAATTAAGAAATTTATCGGTTCTGTTTTTTTGGGGTCACCCTTGTATGAGTTAGAAATAGGCAAAAGACATCTTAAACCTTTACTAAGAATTCATTCTGTGTTTTTCTGAAGCCTTGTTCAGTAAAAAAGACTATGAAGTATAAAAAATGTTGAATCAATCATTTTTTAAAAGTGTTGTTTTTTGAACATTGACAATTTTCAATTTCACTTAGACTGATGACATTTAGATTGAAGCCTGGTTAGTTTCAAACAACTGGAATCACTAGAGGTCCAGCAGGAATTATCAGGCTTATTTACCAGGCCTCATCACTGAACTGATAACTGCTCAAAATAGAGATATAGTATTTGATTTCAGCACATACTCTAACTTCAAAGAAAAACATCAGACAACTAACTACACGGAAAAACATACCTTTATTAGTATTAATATTATTGCTAGCAGCACTGGTTGTGATAGTAGACTGTATTGCACTGGGTATATTGTCATCGGATGTTGTTTGTTTTTGTTGTTTATTAACAGATGAGTAAACAGGTTCTTGCATTTTCTTTTGTTCAAGTCGTTTTTGTTGCATTTCAGCAATTCGCCTCTTCACGTCTTCTTTCTTGATTTCATCTTCAGCTGCATAAATATATATGGTATATGGTATAGAAAAGAAAAATAGCATAATCGGTGTTCAATCCTGTAGGAATAACCCTATGCTAATAAATTGATACTGGAGTTTTCCAGAAAGACACCCACTGCCCATGAGTACCTATATTAGGAGGGCGTTTATATGGTGCTAAGATTTACCCTTTAAGATTTATCTTTACATGTTATAAATTTCTATCAGCCCTAAAGTATACTGAAACTACCATTTCACAACAAAAATGGGTAATAAGACACGGAGCAAAGCAAACTTCTCCCTTCTATGACGTGCATATTTATCACACTCAACTAGTCGCTATATTCCCAGACACATGATCTCAAACAGCTTTCCATTGAGAGCCAATCAGAGGCAATATGCAACTGTAATTACATATCTCGGATTCAAATTCATTGCCCACCACTTCACCCAAGGTGTAATAAATTGGTTGAGCAATACCAAACTAGAATAATTCCGACTCTAAAATATAACAGCGGCTCCGTACACATCGTTAGATATCAGTGGCTGCTTGTACAGCGCTAAACATGTAAATAAGCATCATAGAAAAAACATGATGTAGAGCTGATTTCACAGCTTATCAATAAACATCTATCAGAAACCATTTGAACAACTTACTAGGATTAGTATATTTCACAAATTTCAGTTCATCTTACCGATTTTCCTAGTATCAGGGGCAGGAGCAGGAGGAAGCACTTGTACTTTACTGAAATTGTTGGTAGGGTTTTCATTTTCTTTCTGTTCAAGATTGCTAACTATTGAATGCTAAAAACAAATGAAATTATGCTTTTTAATTTGAGTAATGCAGAAAGAAAAATTGTCAAACAAAGTAATAGTAATAGAGCGAGTCCACAACTTGAAAATTATTATTGTAGTATGGCTAAGTTATGACACAGCGATCTAAGACTTAAGACTTCATAGCGTTATCTTTGTAGTGTAATTATAAAATTTTGCAGCTTAATGAATCCAGGAAAGTATGATTAAAATATAATAGCAAAAAAAGTCAGGGCATCATACCTCTACAATTGATTATTTATTAATTAATACAGAAAGACTATCTCATATTCTTCAAGGCAAAGGGTTACACACTAATTGTCACAAGGTAATAAATAACTGAATTTACCACAGAATGAATTTCACTTTCTTTGGATTTATTCTGAGGAGTATCCCACGGTGCTTCTTTTAATTCTCTCATCTTCATAAAGCTTTCTGCCGCATTCTTCTGCTGTTGTCTATCAAAAATATGTCATTTTTTTAAATAATAGAGGTAGTCAAAACAGAAATAAGATGGTTTCTAAAGGATTGGTATGTTTAGATTTTCGCACAGTTTATCTATTCAATCTAGAGCACTAATCCTTCAGACAAGTGCTCTCGATTGAAACAATAATATAGTTAGAGGAGACACACTAACCAGTGGAACCACCCGAATATACCCCAAACATATCTATGATTTTATAGTGGAATGATGTTTTGAATATATATTGAGGGGCAATTTTGAAATTTTCTACCTTTTGATTTTTTCCATCGAATTTTTTCGAATCAATGAAGCTTCTTTTGCTCGTCTTGCTTCTTGCAAATCTCGAACTTTATCTTGCTGTACACGATTCATCGCCTCGACACCAAGACGATGCTTGTTTAATTCTTCTCGCAAATGCTACAAAGAAAAGTAGCAAATTATTTGAAAGGTTTAAAAAGTTACATTTGTGCATATTTGAAAACCACAATAATCAAATTTCACAATGCAATTACTTTTTCTACTCCTATTTCTAGGTTAATGCTAGAATTGTTTCTACAAAATGCTAAAAGCAAGCTGTAAGCAGAATCAATGAAAAATCAGCAACTACTAAAAGTGTTCTCTCAAGTTTTAAATTTTTTTACTTAAATTTTTTTTTTTTTTTTAATTTTCCTGATAAGAGACTCACTTAAAATGGTCTGTTAACTACATTATAATATTTTTATTTTTCAATTTAAGTATCTCAAAAATTGTGTTTTTAATAATGCCGAACGCGTATTTACTCTGGAATCTGTAATGTGTAATCCATCAAGTAATTGTTGTAATTAATTAGTTAACCAAGATCATTGTTATTTCTCTTCGTTTAAATTGAGTGTTGCAATATTGTGAATAATGTTTGCCTGTGCCAGAGTGTCTTATCCTGATTGGAATTTACTTCAGGGGTCAGTCTTGCCTGATCCCTTCCGTTCATATTCCATGATCATTGTTGTTTTTTATTACTGCAATGTGTTCAGAAATAAATATTTCATCTACCATACCGTAACTGTTGCAATTGGAGAGTTAGAAATTCAATGTGAAGGCTATGATTGAATTTTAAATGCAGAACATCTAGGTATCCATTCAGCAAATAAATTGTGGTCAAAACACAGATCTCTGTATCAAACACTCACATTCAATTCTGTATTGAGCTTTTCCAGCTGTATAAGTTTGGCAGCAGCTTCTCTTCTGTTTTTGTCAACTAATGACCTTAAATCAGACATCGATTCATTTCTGGCATTACAATTTGACTTGATTGAAGAGTACGTTTCTTGAAAGAAATATAAAAAATGTATTATTATTAAATGTGAAAGAGAGCCGTAGGTCGCTAAATACAAATCCCAGACTGGTAAATAATTGGTTTTAGTTATGTTTTTGGAAATCACACAACTTGACAATGCATGAGAAGGTAAATTATGTATTGATGAATATGAAGTATTAGGTAAACTATTAGAGATAACCTGCCCTGAAGATGTCATCCATAGCAACTTGGATACTTTTCATCATTCCCTTTATTTTCTATTATTTCTATTTGTTTTTATTTATTATTTATTCATCTGAAACGATTCCTCACAAAAATGTACATTTAGAACAGTGATCCCCATTAATTTTTTTCATTTTCTAGAAGAGGCAAATTTTTTTTTCTGACAATAGGAGAGAAGAATAACAAATCAAATATCAAGATAGAGAAATCTTGAGACTAATATATAACTTAGTAAACCCAATTTTTTAAAGCAAAAATTCCTACCTGAACTCTGATTTTCTTTTAAATTGCTCATTTTTTCAAAAACGTTTTGCTTTTCAGGAACGACCGCATTCAGCATGTTATTTAGGCCCTAAAGAGGTGAAAAATGAAAATTTTTGTAGGGTTAGTGACACAAAATAAACATTACTTAGATAGACCATTAATAAAAAATATACCTTCAGTTCCTCCTGTCTCTTTGCAACTGCAGATAATTTCAAGTCTCTACTTCTATTCATGGCATCGATCGCCATTTTTTGATCCCTCTCTCTCGCTTCAACATCAGATACTCTGACTCCAAGTTGTTCTTTCTTCTCTCTCTGTGGTAAAATATTTGAATATTTATCAGAATTGTAAGAAATACAATAGCATGAAATGAATAACACTTCAAAATCTAAACTACTTCTTAACACATAGGGCTGTGGATCTGGAGTCGTTGTTTTTATTCAAAATGGAGACAGAGCTGAGGTAAAAATTTGGAATTGGAATTTCAGAATGCTGATGGTGATAACTGAAGACAACCTTTTTGACCGAGATCACTATAACCACTATAATGACTGAGAATTTTAACATACAACACAAGACTAAAAATAGGGCACTGGGAGCTAGGTATGGTGATAATAGTAAGAACGAGAATATCGGTCAGAGACCGAAGACTTATCGATCGAAAGTTAGGGGATCCCCAAAACAGCGCTCTTACTCCATAGTGACACCTTGTGTCCCATCACTAATTAATTAATAACTCGCTCATTATAAGACATAATTCATCCAAAATCAATAGGCTTCTGGTCCGACATATGATGAATGCACATGCAAAATCTGGAGCAGATTTAATCTCGCTTTCGTGAGATATCGCGTGCATCTAACAGACAGAAAAACAGACAAATACCTATCAACATACATACTTACCGATTAAAATCGATAAGTCATGAAAAAAATCAAGGAAATAAAGCATACCAAAGCAGCAATCTCTACATCCAACTCTTTTGTTTTTGCATGAAGCCCAGTGACCGTCTCTTGTTCTCGTAACTTTTGTTGAAGTAATTCTTTTCTTCTTATTCTAAGAAAATATGATAGTGAAACGTCATCAGTTGGAAGTTAGAATGGTAAGTTGTGGTTTACCAAGAATTTTCTCTATTTTAAGCGACTCGCTTTTTCAAGTAGATTCGCCTAAAATTTTATTCGAGTGTCAAGTCTTTCTCGGGGTTAGATGAGTCCGAGTGTAAGTTGAGTCACTCCGCTTAGATGTCTTGAGTAAAAAAATGAGACTCAAGTTGACCCCAACTGACACATAATTTACTAATATAAAAACTTCATTCGATAAATAGATTTTACTGATTTTTTTGGTTTAGGTCTCGAAAAAATCAGTGTTTGGTAGAAGAATCTGCAGTCATTTAAGAATGAATAACCAGCAGCTTGTAGATAAATAATCTTTTATTCTATTTTTCAACAAAATTAACTTCAAATAAGCTAAACAAATCTTTTATTTCTCTATATATAATTTATTACATTTTCAAATATACCTTTCCCATTCCAATTGTCTTTGTCTTTCCATTTCTCTTTGAGCAGCCTCTCTCTGTTCAATTGCCTTCTTTCTTGCTTCTTCTCTCTCTCTTTCAGCAGCTTGTTGTCTCTCCAATTGTCTTTGTAACTGAGCCAAACGCCTTCTCTCTTGTTCTTGCCTGGAATCAATTACAATTTACTTGATAAATCCATATTTAGGTGAAAAATGGCATTGACACTGCACTGTATGTATCCAGTATATTTGGATATGAATTACTATATTTTCTCCTTCTAAATTTCAAATTCAATCGTTTAATTTAAAACAAGGTTTCTCAAACTAACTGGTTTTCTTGAGGCTATGAGCAAAGGACTTAACAGGGTTCCAATCATGAAAACTGCATTAATTAAAAGTACTGTGAATTGACAGTGATTTTTCAGTTCTTCGACTTTGATTCATTTTTCTTTTGCTTTTAGTTTGTTGGCTTTATATTACAAAATCAGGCACATGAAGGAAAACCATAAAAAGCGAAACTAGGTACTTCTATTCAAGAATAGGGGCCTGAAGTGTTGAGAGTCATTGCAAGAGGACCACAGATAATGAAAGTTCGAGAACCACTGGTTTAGAAAACAGCTTAATTTTTAACCAACTTTTGACTCCAAACTAGATGTTCATCAATAATACAGATGCCAATTTATTTTCAATGTGGCATGTCCATGACAGTTTCCTTGAGACAAGTTTGACTATTATTCAAATTATATCAAAATAACGACAACATTAAGAAACAGTCATAATCATCCAAACAGCTTTCAATAATACCACATGACAAGCTATGAAATAATGAATCTAAATGTGAGAAGTCAAATTGTTGTTAGCTCCCCTACCTTTCTTTTTCTCGTCTTTCTCTTTCTTCTCTTTCCTTCCTTTCCAGTCTTTCCCTTTCCTTTCTTTGACTTTCCCTGTGTGATGAAAAATAAAATATAAAACTGAAAATGAGTAATGTGTTAGTATTACCATAAAACATAGCTAGAGATGAGGTCATTCAAATATTCAATCCAATGAGTATCGTCGTATCGAGACAGTGGATCTCAAGTTATTTTCAAATGCTTCTTGAAACACTGAACCAAGTCATAAATTTTACCACTGTCTTCCCGGCTTTGAAACCCGACATAAAATAATCAATCTGTTATAATTAACGATAAGAGAGGTTTGTGTGCGCACAAGATCTTGAAAAAATTGAGCAACGTGCTTACATTATATAACTTTTATTATAAGTGAATGTTATTAATGAAAGATAATTGTTTTCAGTGGATCTTGACTTTATGAAAAAGTTTAGGACTTCTGGCTACGGCAACTTGCACCCAAATGCCATTTAAAATATTACTCAGACTTTGTGGACTCCAGGTTGAGGAAAATTTTGCCTCCAGCCTCAAACTCAATAAAAACCAAATGTTGATGACAAAATGTGTATACATGATTGCTTTAATTGTCTGTTTTGGATGATTAAGTCAACTCGATGCTTTAAGATTGTCAAGAATATTGTTCCCAATTATTGCTACTAAAAGACTAAAATTTCGACTGCGAATCCCGAATTTAAAAAATTTGAAATTTTGATTGAGCTAAAATTTATACAAAAAAAATGAAAAAACCTACTCAAGAGCTTGTCGCCTTCTTTCCAGTTCTACATTTCCTTTATTGAAATTATCACGCCTTTTATCTTCGAAAGTAGTAAACATACTCGATTCTGTTCCTTTATTCTGCAATAAAGTACAGTTAAATATCAAACCCTCAAACCAAATAAATAAAAAACAATTCGGCAGCAAGAGAATCTTATTCTTTTTGAAAATACATATTTTTTTTCCATGCAAATAGAATAAATCTTATAAAAATATTACCATGTTAGTAAATAATAACAAAAATATACAACAAAAATATACACAACTGAACCAGGTAAAATCAGTTTATTTATGTAATTTAGTTTTTCAAGCTTTTATACCAGTTTTTAGCGAACCTCAAATATTTTAATAGCGGGCTAATTCAAATTTTCAACAGCACAGAAATAACTAGTGTGATGTATATCAGTGACAAATTGGTAAACAATGGGAAATCCAGAATATTGGTCAAGCAAACACTTACTGTATATCTTAGCATATAAGCCGAGTTTGAAACTCAAAAAAGTTGCCAAACTAAGGGGTCTGCTTATAAGCACATAACTCTGATAGAACTGAAAATTTAGATGATATGCGCATAACTGTGGACTGGAAAGATCTCTTTGGGATTTATGTCATTAATGATGAGGAAGAATTTAAAGGATTTTGAAACAGTTCTTACTGTATTTCTTCTGTGACGAATTGCAGTGTGTACGGTTTGTTACGATTTATAAAGCGCGTATATGAGAATTTCTATAAATTCACTAATTTGGGGCCGTTTTTAGGGGGTCGGCCTATATGCGGGAATATATAACCATATCAGTGATTACCCGCAACTAGACTCATTCGTCATAAAATCAGAGTCTCTCAACTAAGGGAGGAATTCCTACCCAGATGAAACTTTGTTGTTTTTGGGGGAGGGAATACTACCTCTGTATTTGGTGTATTTCACTAATATTGTAATACAAATTCATGCACACATTAAAAATTAAAAATGCGCAAAAGCCAGAGTGCAGGTTGTGCATAACACTAGCTAATGATAGATACATTGAAGATTGAAACAAATACCGAAAACATGATTTTTCTGCGTAATGAGTGAGGAATAAAGAGTTCCAAAACAGGCAAAGAAAGGAATTTCTCAAACAAGGTTGAAAACCACAGCATAAAAGTGAGTACAGGGAGTCCTCGGGTTACGACCATCGCGACTAGCGCTGTTTCGAGGTTACTTACGAACACGCACTCCATAACGCTGTTTCGAGGTTAAGAACGTACTCCATAAAACATATAAAAGATAATATTGTATTTGTACTGTACAGTATTTGCTTTTATTCATGTGATATGGAATTGTTATCTGTTTTTTTAAGCAAATACTTTTTTGCATTATTTTCATTACAGTACCATACATTACAATACAGTACCATACTTTACTTCTACTGTATAGTATAATGTTCCGACTTGCACTGAAATTCGGGCTAGACCTCGTCTCGAGAACGAACAACTTTGTAAGTCGAGGACTCCTGTATTGAATTTATTGAACTAATGTCTAGCTATGCCTATTATAAATAAATAAATGAAAGCTTATAATTTAACTTACAGATGACTTATCTGGATCCAATAGGTTTGTTAAATCACCCATCAGAGCAGGTGCAATGTTGGTAGCAGACATTCCTGTGGCTCGACGGTATGAAGGAGGCATAAGATTCGGAGGGAGTAAGTTAGGTAGAATTGCACCTAAAATATAAAAACATTTTTATAACAGAAGTGTTTTTATAACAGAGACAAAAAATGCAAATAAAAGTGTTTAATATCTAATGCAAACGTCTAAAGAGGAATGTTTGTGTGTGATTATTTTAGTGCACTTTTATTTTACTGCAATTCCTTTCAAGTTTTGAAAGCTCTAAAATATGACACTTGCCGAAGATCTCTTGTAGAGATCCTTGTTCAGAGTGAAAAAAATGCTTGAAAATGTTTTATTTGTATATGAATATTCTTATCAATACCCCCTAATCTAAATTCATACAAATTGTCTTTTGATAGATTTGCTTCATGTCAAATGCTTATTAAGACAGAATTATTATTTATTTCAATTAAGTTTGTAACAATGTACTCAAGCTTCAGAGAATAATTCTTTGACGTTTATTATTAAATGCAAATATATATATTCATATATTTTTTATTCAAAACAGATATAGTGGGCATATTTTTTTCTCAATCACGCATTCGAAATCATATTAAAATTTTTTAAAACCGAGCAATTTACCAAACATCATTTATATTAATCATGAATAAAATTTAACAACATTTCTTACCTGATTTGGCTTGATCAGTCAAATGCATCGCTAGTACAAATTCTTCTTGTGTTAGTTTACCATCTTTATCAATATCACTAAGATTCCATATTTGTGCGAGGATTGGTTGTGGTAATCCAGTTTGTGTTAATATAAATCTTGCTTGCATGCCTGGATAATCCGATTAAATGGAGATTTAGTATTGTAAATTGATTATATAAAAGAAAATCCCTTTATTAGGAGCAGGAATCAATTAAAAATGATCAAACTCTCTGAAATACCTTAATTGGGTTTGTTATATTTCAATCATTGTTTAATTAAGTTTCTACCCCAGTTGATTTACAGAACAAACTATATATGATATTGATTTAAAATTCTTATATTCTGTACTTAGTATACTATAGTACATTTTTAATTTAAGGAAAAATTCAAAATATTTCAATTTTAAAATTCGCAAATTTGAGCAACAGGCAAAATATAAAGTGTGTTCATTCAAGTTCTAATCACAATTTCAATTTTGTTATGAAGTCAATTCACTAGCATATCAATTGTTTTTTGAGTATTCAAAGAAAACCACACAATAACAGCGAAGATATGAGGCAATATTGTACACGAGCTAATTTAAAACAAACAGTAATATTTCCAGTTTAAATATTTATTGTTTCATGTTCATTTATCGATCAATGAAATGGAAAATGCTATCACATAGAGGGGCTCAAAATAAAAGAGCGAATACTGAAATTTTAAAATAAAAAATATTTGAAAATATCGCGCAAATAAGTTTTAAAGAAGCTAAATTTTGGAAAGGAAAAACGAATATTGAAAGTATTGAAAAAAAAAATTTATTTGAAAATATCGCAAAATAAGTTTTAATACAGATAAATTCTGAAAAAGGGAGTGAAAAGTGTCTTCTTTTCCACTAGTACAAAGCGAAAAATAGGTAAAACTTGATATTTTTCATTTTATCACAATATATTAGTCAAATACAGAATTAAAATGTGGCAAATTAAATAGGGCGAAATGATAAACTCCTTATTACATCTCATTTGTACAGTCCCAACATATAAAACAGAACATTATACACAAAAATATCTCATATTCTATTGAAAATAAAATTCCAACAGTTACTCAAATGACAATCGAATACAATGAAGAAAATGCAATATTATGCCATGTTCCTACTGTCATATTATCATTTTGTGCTATCAACTTTGTTATGAAATGTTACCTGACAAAAATCCTGTCTTATTACTATCATTCAAATTGAATTGTTGATTATATTTCAATTTACTTTGTTTTGGAACTGCCCAATCTGATCCAGGACTTGATGAACTGCAAAGTGAGAACAAAGTTAGACAACAAAGTGAGAACAAAGTTAGACTCTCGCTATGGGCAAGGGCGAGTGGTATGGTCAGGCAAGAGGTCGGAAAACGGGGTTTTAAAAAGTCCAGAGGGCCTAAAAAGTATTTCAAGCTACGAAAAATTGCTATGTATAAAACAGAAAAAAAAATTTTACATTTTAAAAGGGGGGGGGGGGGAGGTTGCGACCCGCAAAGAGCTGCGACCCTCAAAGAGCTACGTCCCTGGCTCTGCGTAATCAGTATACAACATTTTGTATGGGGGACGCAAGAATCAAATTGATATCATGTGAGCAATGTGGTCTCAAATCAACTGTAGTGAAGCGTCTCCTTATATATCAGTGGCTGCTTATACAGAGCCTTGCTGGAAGCAAAAGCCAATTAAAAATATTATATAAAAAATAAGTCTAGGCATATGAAACATATAACTGTTAACAATTTCAAAACCTGGCATTGACTAGTAACTAGATGAAAGGCATTGGTTTTTCTTACGAATAAACTTTTCTCCCTCTTGAAATAAATATGAAACCCAATGTTTCATGTTTGAAATCATGGATTTTGTGGCATCATAAATCATAATAATATTTCAAAATTCAAACAGTCAATGAGGAGTCGTAACTGCCATATGCACAAATGAGTTTTAACAACTCACTTATTTACGACCCTAATATAAGCATAAAATATTGATACCACAGTTCCAAACACTATTTGGCCAAAATGAATTTAAAATTTACAAACCTTGCTGCTGGTAATGTGTTGGAAGCAGCAGATACAGTAGGAACAGAAGGTGTTGGCACCGGCCCCATTAGCGGCATTGTTCCCATGCCAGGCATCCTTGGTGCCACCATTGGCATAGTTGGTGCCATTTGAGTCATTACCATTTTATTGCTTCCCATATTTGGCGGAAGAGTTCCACTCATACCTCAAGAAAGTATTATTATTGAGATAGTTTCAATATTATTTAAAAATTTAAATTGCTTTTATATTCAATATAGTAAATTGATGACTAAAAAATGTTTATCACAAAAACAAGAAAATCAAAACATCAGTTTATTTGAATCATTTTATCGCTTATCACAAACCTCCGTTTGAACTATATATACAATTTCAATTGATTTTTTCGACAATATATTTACGCTGTCCTTAACCCAAGAGGGCAGAACTTGCAAAGGCTACTTTGAAAAAATGAATGAAAACATTCCTTTTTATTTTAAATTTCAGTAACTTTTTATGGAAATACTTTTTGAGTATTGTTGTAAACCAGTAGTTCTCAAATTAAGGGGGTGTAAACAATTTAAAAAGGGGGCGTGAAACTACTAAAAAAAATAATTGTCAGATTTGATCTTTCCTGCCTTACTTCGGATATTTACATTTCTGTATTCTGGATATTTGCGTTCCATCAACGGATTTTCAACGTGTGTTTTATATAAAACATACTTTCGCCATATTATCTGTTATTTGTAGCTTATTGCTAGTTAGTTATTTTTGAGCTGGGGCGCGGGACTTGACAAATTCTAAAAAAGGGATATGGCTCAAACGGTTTGAGAACCACTACTTTAATAAACTATGATTAGATACCAGATCAACGATCATCTATTTCTTTCTAGTATTTTCAAATAAAACTTCTTTTAAAATTTCCATATTTGCTAGTTTTCCTTGAAACCCCGGTTTTATATCATTGAAGAGTTGAATACCTGGCATCATGAAACCCCCCATTCCACCTGTTCCATTCGTCATCATAGGTTTCATAGTCATACTGGAGGAAGGCAGACTAGATCCTGTAGATGACGCAGATATGTTGCTACTATTACCAAACACCGACGTCGTAGATGAATAAGATGTGAGAGAAGTTTGAGCTGAAAAAATTGGATTTTTTTGTTAGCTGAGCACTTTGCTAAAAATAAAAGGAAAAATGAATTTTGCAACGCTGTGGACAATGGACTAGGTACAATGGACTAGCGCAGGCAGCGCTTCCTAATTGTTTTGCTTGTGTGATGCCAAATTATCAGGGAAAAAAACTCGCGACGCACATACACAAAGTAAATTTCTGCCTTTCAATATAAAACTCATTTTTTTGATTGTTAATATGTACTTTATGCCTTTTTAGGTTTTTAAACATGTAGGCCTAAAGTATAAAACTCTTCATCTTCTCTGTATAATTTTACTTCAAAATACAAAAAAAAAGCACTCGTGTTTGCTAAACTGCAGCTCGCAAAAATTGCAGCAAGTAGTGTCTACCTCTATTGTTATGTAAAATTTTGTATGATAGTATAAAACTAAAAATATTTGCTAAGCAATTTAAAATAACCTACGGTATTTTAGCAGTGAATTGACTTTATTATTTACTAATGTCCACAAGAATATACAAACAAAACAAAATAAAATATGAAACAAGTATGAACCAATGAAAATCCCATATATTTTAACATTCCAACTCAAATATTTACCAAAACTTGAGATATCAAATGTAGAAGGCAGTTGTTTCATGGAAGGTGGTAATTTGCTTGGCATTGTTGCACCTTGCAACTTGAGTTTTATCAATTTCATAGCTATTGCAAATTCTTGTTTATCCATCTTACCATCTCCAGTCATGTCCGCCAAATCCCTTCAAATTCAATCAAAATGTTAAACACACATAAGACAGTAATAAGTAAGGCTTTGGTACTTTTCAACATCTACAGGGTGACTTGAGAATTACAGAACTGAGGTCATTTGGAACATATTCTCGAAAGAACACGAATTCTGGGCAAAGTGTCCTAGGTTACAGAAATTTTGAGGTTCGATCATACATAAACAGAAGTTCAAATGTTTGAGTGTGACCTATTTAAGAAATTTATGAGTTGTTTAATGGCACTAAATAATTTAATGAAAGTAATTTAAAAAAACTATCATGCAACATTATGGAGCAAAGTTACAAATTTTTTTATTCTCTATATTAGCCATGTATAAATTAAAATATCTCCAATTACCATATTTTCCCAAGAACAGTGGGAGATAGGCTGGATTTTAAAAACAATCCTCTCGCTTGGTCACCCCGAACAAATCCACCCATCGGTTTTAATTGATCAAACTGTTTATCATATCCTTTCTTTTCATCAGAAGTAATTGACCATTGGATATTAGAACCCATTCCTAAAAACAAAATCAATTGACCATTGGATATTAGAACCCATTCCTAAAAACAAAATCAAACAGGTGATATAGGATTCCAAGGAGGTATGATTTACTAAAGAAATGGAATTGGGTAACACAAGAATCGAAGATATAAAGTCATAATTCGCTGCCCAATTATTGTACGTATCACATGATTTCATATACAGGGTGTTCGTAAAGTCCTGTTAATAAAATTGCAAACTTTTGTTATGAAGTCAGTTCTCAATATATTTTAAAAAAATTTATTTAATCAGTATTTATTTGTTTTTTTACTTCTTTCAATACATTTTTATGAGCCCACCAATAGTTGAAATCGATCAAAAATTTTTTACAGTACCAGTAATTTGATACAGGAATGAACACCCTGTATACTCAAGAAAGCTAGTATAATAGGCTAATCATACAGTGAATCAGAGCCATTTAACTGGTAACCAGTGAAGGTAGTAAATAGGGAATATTTTATGAAGCATCTCAATACCTCCGAATAGGGCTCTTCATAAGCATCACATACGAAAAGACTACTATTTTTGTAAAGAGCGGTGTTTCAAAATAAATCGCTTTTTCACTGCAAAAAAGTTCATCCTCCTCTTTGCGAAATTTTAAATTTTATTTAAGCTTAAAAGCCCTTTTATTCATTAATAAACACCTGTATAATATTTATCGTATTTTCACAATAATTAGATTAAGATACCGGTACATATCGTCCTTTCATGACCTAAAAGTATTATTGCTTAGGCATATATATAATGATTAGATAATTGTCACTTCACTATAAATTTAGTTATTGATAGGATACAAGGGTATGTACAATATAAAGAATCATAAGTTATTTAAAGACTTGGCACTCATCACTTTCAATGTGGGTGTGATCCTTGGCTGTCAAGTCAGCTGAAATAGTTTCAACAAGTACAACCATAGTCATTAGTTAGTTCTCAACTGATTCACAAATTCTCTGGTTTAACTATTTATTAATATATAATTTAGATCACGCTGTTTTGTGACTCACTTCAATATTTTAAATTTTCCCTCTACCTAGTGTTGCTTTTACTATGAATAATGAATAATAAAAAATACTTGAATGAAAAATTATCTTTTACCTAGCAGAATAGGTATGCAGTAAAGAAAAAACCAGTCTATGTAAGCATATACAAACAGTCTACAAAAGAAAATACAGGACTATAATAGTGAAGTAACACAAGTACTTAAATGGCCATGGCATAGCCATTTTTGCATACCAGTATGTTATTCCTATCCCCTACCTGCATACCTGATACCGTCATACAAAAATTATGTCACCACGACGTCACAATCATAATAAAATACAGGGTCTCGTGTTCGTACCTCAAGTACTTCTAGAAGGCGTAGCATAATGATTTTTGCACATGTCAATCCTAACCCCCACTTGACTACATCAACCAAAAATTACGCCACTAAGACGTTCACAATCACGTCATAGAGCTTGCCAAAGTAAACCTGCAATCACCCATAATGGCATTTGCGCCGACAATAAAGAGGTCACTAATGGCAGCAACCTCTCCTTTATCGGGATTGTTGCGACGAGAAAACGAGAGAAATACGGTAGCTTGCTCGATTTCGAGTGATCATCTGCGCGTCTTGGATGACAGTTCGTATAGTTTGAAGGGCCTTATTATGCCACTGTGATGTCATAATGACATAATTTTGGATGACGGATGACATAATCAGGTGGTGGTTAGGATTGGATTGACATATTATGCAAAAACTGTTATGCTATGCCCATTAGAAGTACTTGAGGTTTGAAACTACACTAGATCCAAAATACAAAATGAAAATTATTAAGTAATATGCATATTTACCGGTATGTATTTATTTCTGATACTCATAATTATTACAGTATTATAATAACTTGGCGAGGACTGAAAGACTGGAAAGAATTGTATAGGAATCCCAGTCATTTGAAGCCTATTGCTGTATTGCCAGAATGCAGTAATGTATACTTATAAAAAAAAGGTGATTTATACTGAATTGGCACCCATGTCCCTGTATCCTTGTCTAGGCAGTCTACAGGTCTAGGTGCTAATTCAGTAATTCAATATCTGACTGCAGGAATGTCAGAATGTACAGATGTAACTTATGACAGTACGATATTCTGATATTACGGTTTTACTGTTTTATGATGTCGAATCACCGAAAAAGCTTCTCTAAATTAACCAACCTGGTTGTTGTGATGAAAATCCTAATCCTGTGTTTGATGATGCCATGAATTGCGCCATTTACAGCTTTACAGTACGATTCTCTCTTCACAACAAGTTCATAAGGTTTTTTAGCATGTGGCACTGGCACCACCAGGGCTGCTATAACGCTATTTAATTGCAAAATAGGCCTACTGAAGTTTTTCCGGTAGTGCGCACCCTGCTCAGCCCTACAAGCACTTACTGATTAATCGCAGTAACGTAAGCAGCTGAGCAGTTAATCTCAAGCTTTGCCTTTGGCAAGCTTTAACTTCTGAACATGCACCTGGCCAATAGAGAGAGAGAGAGAGAGTTTATTTCATTTCGTCAAACCAAGAAAACAATATATGCATACATATATAAATATCAAATAAACAGATGTTTTCGGTACATGACTGGGAGGCAACGATACGACCTTTGGGGTCATCAGTGTCGGTTGCCATTTAATTCAATTCAATAAGCATAAAAAAATCAGGTTCGGTGTCAATATATCAATACCTCACATGTTTGTTTACTATATACAATATTTACATTACATGTTTTTACCATTTTTATTATCAAAGCGAAACTATGGTATCGGTATACCGTTCTTTTAAATAGCCGAATTTGCCACATATTGAATTTGAATTTCAAATGATCGAAACGAAATAGATTGGAGCTCAGGTATTCAAAGATACGAATTATTTGGCTAACTTGTATCATACTCATGAGTGAGGGTGAGTTTACAGAACATGCAGGAATTTGAACATGAGTGGAGTTCTATTCTAATATACACATATACTGGTGCTATATAATCAGAAGCACGGGTTGCTGAGTTGGATCGACGAAACAATTCAGATTTTTGGTGTAAACAAAATGCATTTCTTTGGTCAAGGCCATTCATGCAAATATTGTAGTAAATTGTAGACTTGGTAAAAAAAAAAACACAGTTGGCAAAAGGGTGGCTTGATATAGGAATAAATAAGATGCAACATTTTATAACCTTATGTAAAATGATTTTGGACACTTTGAGTATAAGCATTAAATAGAGGTCTTATTACACAGAACTGATACAATTCATCAGTCCAGGCCATTCATGAGAATTAGATTGAACAGCTGAATGAAGAAGTATTGTGATTATATTAACAGATCAAGAGATGATGGAAATGAGCTATTATTAGCTTGGCATATTAACTTTATAAAATGAAGAATGTAACATTTTATAACACGATCTGGGACAATTTGAATGTGAACATTTATTAGCCAATAGTCATAATCGAATACATAAAAATATATAAACTCATTTTTACAGAGGAAGTACCATGAATGCAATATAAGCTTAGCATATAAGCCTTATGAAATAAAAAATGAAGAATGTAACATTTTATAAAAAGATTCGGGACAGTTTAAATATGAACATTCAACAATAGTAATCAAATACTGGAATATAAAAATAGAGAATTAAAGTTGCTTAGGAATTATCATGGGTGCAATTTGACTAGAGAATAAATTCTGGTTTAGAGCAGCAAAGTACAACACGCCGTATGTCAGTATGTAGGCTACCATTGGTGAATATAGCCAGGGATTGCAAACAACAACAAAAACAGTGATCTCCAAAACAACAAGAGAAAACAACAACAATTCCAGAATTCACTAGAAACATTCACTGCACAAGTCAAGCAGTATAGATTTAAGAAAACAGTATATATTTACACCTGGCTAGGCTTAAACAAAATATATAAATACCGGTATCAAACAACAACAATTGTTTTATATAACAGTATAATGGCCTTTGCTTGAGTCGAACCAACAACAAAAAAATCTGGACCAACAGGGAACAGACAATGCATTTTTATTAAATGAATTTTATTTCAGATGCCAAAAGCAGTCTGTAATTTATTTAAAAACATACCATCACAAACTGAACATTTTCCTTGTTTTGTATTATTGGGTAAGAGCTAGCCTACCGGTAACGCAATAAATACAAAAAACGGAAAACCAAACAATACTGAGTACAGAAATCTGAGAATACCGGTAGCAAAGCAATACACGAGTTGAGGACGAAAACTCACGACATTAAGGTGGTTTCGCCGCTTGGGGCAGTGCGGCATCACACCGCTCAAAGCCTATATATATACCCGACACCGCTGGTCCGCGAGAAATTTCGTTGTTTTGTTGTTTTTCTGGCGTTTTTTAATTAATCACTGCACCGAAGTTGGTTTATTACGCAATTTCTCTTCCGCCGTCATATTGCTGTTTGATAAGTGTGGTATTAATGGCCCGATGAGTTGTGTGTAAGGCGGCATGCCAAGTATTCCCCTGATAGGCCGCGAGCCGAGGCCATTTATCTTTCAGTTTCGTAGCGCACATCAGGTAACTACCTGAAAATGATTTTAAAATGTTCCTTAGAAATTTAGTAACAAATATTGCCTTGTTCCCACTTCCAAAAGTTGCACGTTTTACAGAAAAGACGCTTTTACTACAATAAATATGTGTTACCATCTGTCCTATTTTCTCTGCTTTTCCGGTATCATGGGCCAATGAACGAAGACTTCTGCACGACGTAACAGTCAAGTTAGTCAGCTGTAGGTGGATCCCCAGTGGTCGGATGAATATCAGATGTACTCAACTGCTCGCTTTTGCGTTGAGTAGCCTTTCCATAGTTTTTTTCAGTTACCGGTAATATTAGTCCAGTTATTCTAAGGAGGTGTTGAAAAGTATAGGTAAGATATTAAACACTTGTATATCCTTGCCATAAATAGCAATTTTAGTTGAGCACTAGCTCATAAGACGTTGTTAAATAGGTACGGTGCGGTAACTCCAAGGAAGGGTAGACCTAGAATAATATGTCACAAACAACGATATTTTCTGGCTTGCATGAAATGTTTATGATTAATTTAATGACTCTTCTTGACTATTCAGCAGACTTATACTACTATATAGGCCACAGCATATTTGGAAATAGAAATGAATGGCTGTTTCTGTAATGCACGGTTGTGTGAAAGAGAAGAAATTAGGTAATCAATTTTACTAATGTCGGTTGGTCTAAATCTAAATTCATAGAGTCGACAAGAACCTGGGAAGCAATGATAAGTTATGCCGGAGTGGAAAGAAAGGTAGCATTGGAAATGATTGAGAGGTGAGAAATGAAGTTGTAGACAAACAGTTGATGTTTCAAAATATAGTCTATAGTCTATATGGCGCGTCGGTGTGGCTCAACGGGCTAAGCGTTAGGAATACGCTCGCCACCGCACCTCTAATTACTCTGCGTGGGTTCGCAGGTTCGAATCCCATGCAGGGATGGTTATGTGCGAGAGGATTGCTGGACTCCTCGCCGTCGTTGGGTGGTTCACGTAACCGCTGGTCGGTTACGGCTTCCTCCACCACCAAGTCCATGCTTCCGAAAACAAATATTACAGTAAAACCAATCCCATACCCGACTTGGAATGGTAACCGGACGAGAGGCCGTGGTTCGCCATATGGATAAGCCGTCTTATCGGCTTTCCTCTCCCCCGGGATAAATATGTAAATCCTATCCTATCCTATCCTATAGTCCATACTCATACTGTCATAGGACATTTCAGACTGTGATATATCAAAATTTAGTGTAGATATAGTCTAGTAATGGTATGCAAACACTGCTGGACTGTAGAACATGCAATGAGCATATATACGCTCATTTAGTACATCAGATAAAATGCATTATGTATTCAAGG